CTGTTGAATGATTAAATCATCCCATGGTAGCGGTGGCCCATGCTCTTCACCAGTGCCATATAATGATTAGGTCATCCGAAGGTGGTGGTGGCCCATGCTCTTCAACAGTACCATATAATGATTAGGTCATCCGAAGGTGGTGGTGGCCCATGCTCTTCACCAGTGACATATAATGATTAGGTCATCCGAAGGTGGTGGTGGCCCATGCTCTTCACCAGTGCCATATAATGATTAGGTCATCCGAAGGTAGTGGTGGCCCTTGCTCTTCACCAGTGCCATTTAATGATTAGGTCATCCGAAGGTAGTGGTGGCCCATGCTCTTCACCGGTGCCATATAATGATTAGGTCATCCGAAGGTAGTGGTGGCCCATGCTCCTCACCAGTGCCATATAATGATTAGGTCATCCGAAGGTAGCGGTGGCCCTTGCTCTTCACCAGTGCCATATAATGATTAGGTCATCCGAAGGAAGTGGTGGTCCATGCTCTTCACCAGTGCCATATAATGATTAGGTCATCCGAAGGTAGCGGTGGCCCTTGCTCTTCACCAGTGCCATATAATGATTAGGTCATCCGAAGGTAGTGGTGGCCCATGCTCTTCACCAGTGCCATATAAAGATTAGGTCATCCGAAGGTAGTGGTGGCCCATGCTCTTCAACAGTACCATATAATGATAAGGTCATCCAAAGGTAGTGGTGGCCCATGCTCTTCACCAGTGCCATATAATGATTAGGTCATCCGAAGGTAGTGCTCATCCTCTTCGCCAGTGCCATTTAATAACTAGGTCATCCAAAGGTAGTGGTGGCCCATGCTCTTCAACAGTACCATATAATGATTAGATCATCCAAAGGTAGTGATGGGCCATGCTCTTCACCAGTATAATATAATGGTTAGGTCATCCAAAGGTAGTGGTGACCCATCCTCTTCACCAGTGCCATATAATGATTAGGTCATCCAAAGGTAGTGATGGGCCATGCTTTTAATAAACAGGTACGGGTGCCCAAAATGGTCATTCTGGAGTCCTAAACGAAGAACCATTATACACGTGTTGAATGAAAATATTATTACATTTAACTGTTCAATTAATTTCACCAAACACATAATGTTGTTCATCCAATGGTCATGATGGTCCATGCTCTTTACTAGTACTGTTGAATGATTAAATCATCCCATGGTAGCGGTGGCCCATGCTCTTCAACAGTACCACATATGATTAGGTCATCTAAAGGTAGTGGTGGCCCATCCTCTTCACCAGTGCCATATAATGATTAGGTCACCCATTGGCAGTGATGGCCCATCCTCTTCACCAGTGCACTATAATGATTAGGTCATCCATTGGTAGTGATGGGCCATGCTCTTTACCAGTGCCATATAATGATTGGGTCATCCATTGGTAGTGATGGGCCATGCTCTTTACCAGTGCCATATAATGATTAGGTCATCCATTGGTAGTGATGGGCCATGCTCTTTACCAGTGCCATATAATGATTGGGTCATCCATTGGTAGTGATGGGCCATGCTCTTTACCAGTGCCATATAATGATTGGGTCATCCATTGGTAGTGATGGGCCATCCTCTTTATCAGTGCCATATAATGATTAGGTCATCCATCGGTAGTGATGGGCCATGCTCTTCACCAGTGCCATATAATGATTAGGTCATCCAAAGGTAGTGGTGGTCCATGCTCTTTACCAGTGCTATTGAATGATTAGGTCATCCATTGGTAGTGATGGGCCATGCTCTTTACCAGTGCCATATAATGATTGGGTCATCCATTGGTAGTGATGGGCCATGCTCTTTACCAGTGCCATATAATGATTGGGTCATCCATTGGTAGGGATGGGCCATGCTCTTTACCAGTGCCATATAATGATTGGGTCATCCATTGGTAGTGATGGGCCATGCTCTTTACCAGTGCCATATAATGATTGGGTCATCCATTGGTAGTGATGGGCCATGCTCTTTACCAGTGCCATATAATGATTGGGTCATCCATTGGTAGGGATGGGCCATGCTCTTTACCAGTGCCATATAATGATTGGGTCATCAATTGGTAGTGATGGCCCATCCTCTTTATCAGTGCCATATAATGATTAGGTCATCCATCGGTAGTGATGGGCCATGCTCTTCACCAGTGCCATATAATGATTAGGTCATCCAAAGGTAGTGGTGGTCCATGCTCTTTACCAGTGCTATTGAATGATTAGGTCATCCATTGGTAGTGATCGGCCATGCTCTTTACCTTTAGCAGTGCCTTTGATCAATATAGGAAGACTACTCCGTTCTACAGTAGGGTTGAAGTAACAGCATCCCACAACTGGGCATGTCATGGAGGAGATCATTTCGTGAGGCTGAAACCTGAGTAGACAACGTTTACTTGGTCTAGTGTATCATCTGCCTCCGGTGCTACCATGACGACAGGGGGACATCTGGCTCCAGTGCTACCATAACGACAGGGGGACATCAGGCTCCAGTGTTACCATAACGACAGTGATACCTGGAAGCAGTGCAACTATGACAACGAGAGGCACATCAGGGAATAGTGCTACTATGACAACAGGTGGCACATCAGGAAGTAGCGCAACCATGACAACGTGCGGCACATCAGGGATTAGTCCTACTATGACAACAGCATCCCTGTCCCCAGGTACCACAACCCAGAGGACTATTGAATCAACAGCATCCGTGTTCCATGGCGACAGGCGGCACATCTGGAAGCAGTGCAACCATGACGATAGGCGGCACAACTGGAAGCAGTGCTACCATGACGACAGGCGGCACATCTGGAAGCAGTGCCACCATGGCGACAGGCGGCACATCTGCAAGCAGTGCAACCATGACGACAGGCGGCACATCTGGAAGCAGTGCTACCATTACGACAGGCGGCACATCTGGAAGCAGTGCTACCATGACGACAGGCGGCACATCTGGAAGCAGTGCAACCATGACGACAGGCGGCACATCTGGAAGCATTGCTACTATGACAACAGGCATAAGGAAGCAGTGACAACAGGCGGCGTAGCAATAGCCTCCCTGTTTCCAGGTACCACAACCCAGAGGCCAAGTGTATCAACAGCATCCGCGTTCCTGCAGACGGGGTCGTCAGAACGATCGTCCACTGCTACAACCCCACTCACGACAGCGTCACTGTTTTCAACAAAAAAATTGATAAGTTTATCAATACTCACTTTGATATAAAAAGATCAAACACACCTCACACACTAACTCACCCATATATCACACACATACACACCACGCACACACACTAACACACACATGCACACACACTCAGGCATACCACACACACACTCATACACTCACACACAGACTGCACAAACACACACACTAACACACACCACACACATTAAGACACACTTACACACACACCACAGACAGACAGACAGACACACACACACACACACACACACACACACACACACACACACACACACACACACACACACATACACACACACACACACACACACACACACACACACAGACACACACACACACACACACACACACACCACACCACACCACATCACATCACATCCATAATGACACGTTGTCACTGTACACGTGTATGCATCAGACTGGATGATATTAACATGATATTCCATAAGACGGACACTGTTAGATTCACGCACACACACTAACACACACATGCACACACATTAAGACACACTTACACACACACCACAGACAGACAGACAGACAGACACACACACACACACACACACACACACACACACACACACACACACACACACACACACACACACACACCACACACACCACACCACACCACATCACATCCATAATGACACGTTGTCACTGTACACGTGTATGCATCAGACTGGATGATATTAACATGATATTCCATAAGACGGACACTGTTAGATTCACGCACACACACTAACACACACATGCACACACATTAAGACACACTTACACACACACCACAGACAGACAGACAGACAGACACACACACACACACACACACACACACACACACACACACACACACACACACACACACACACACACCACACCACACCACACCACATCCAACCATAATGACACGTTGTCACTGTACACGTGTATGCATCAGACTGGAGGATATTAACATGATATTCCATAAGACGGACACTGTTAGATTCACGCACACACACTAACACACACATGCACACACATTAAGACACACTTACACACACACCACAGACAGACAGACAGACAGACACACACACACACACACACACACACACACACACACACACACACACACACACACACACACACACCACACCACACCACATCCAACCATAATGACACGTTGTCACTGTACACGTGTATGCATCAGACTGGAGGATATTAACATGATATTCCATAAGACGGACACTGTTAGATTCACGCACACACACTAACACACACATGCACACACATTAAGACACACTTACACACACACCACAGACAGACAGACAGACAGACACACACACACACACACACACACACACACACACACACACACACACACACACACACACCACACCACACCACACCACACACACACACACACCACACCACACACACACACACACACACCACAGACAGACAGACAGACACACACACACACACACACACACACACACACACACACACACACACACACACACACACACACACACACACACACACACACACACACCACACCACACCACATCCAACCATAATGACACGTTGTCACTGTACACGTGTATGCATCAGACTGGAGGATATTAACATGATATTCCATAAGACGGACACTGTTAGATTCGGCTATCCGGCTATGATTCAACTCGCCCCAGTTACCTTAATGTAAACGGATGCGATCACAATTTTGATATAATTGCAGGAAAAATATAAATGGCTTAAGTGGTCCCCTCTTAGGCCTGGCCATTATAGATCACTTATTCGGAAAGGTTGATCTATTATGCTGTATCAGCTCATAGGGACATATAACGATAATAACGATAATAAACAACACAGAATTTAACTGGCTTATTATTGTAGAGCGGCAGTTCCGTGTCAAGGTCGTTACTTAATACAGAGTACATTCTGTGCCTGGAGGAGAGATTGTGGAACCGAATGTTATTGAGGTAAGTCCATATTGTCTATCTATGAAAGATAATTCTAACATATATTTAAGTGGGGCGCAGGTGGCCCTGTCATCTGAGACGCCGCGGGTCACTGTGGGGAGTTGCGTCCCTTGGGCACGCCAGAAACCTATGAATCATAGGTTGGATTCTCATGTTCGCCCTGATTATTATCCCAGGTTTAACAGCACCATACCCGCGTTCGTGGGTTTAACCAAAGTAGTTAACATCTGAGATCGGCATTACTCTAAGCTCTCCTCCCACATCAAGCTGACACGCCGTGATATAACTGGCACACTGTAAATTAGTTCAAGGCGCCGTTAAGACCAAAACAATAAGCTTGATTGGTAACAACAATCGGTTTCTTTATCTAAGAATATCATTGTAATAAATGATAACATATTTCCTGCATCCATACACAATGGAATGTATGGCATAAGTTTTACTTGCATGTAAGCCTCGTGAATGTCCGGGTTAGAATTCAGCAACCCATTCTTGTAGTAAGAGGCGACTAACGGGATCGGGTGGTCAGGCTCGCTTAATTGGTTGGTGGATGTCGTCGTATCCCAAATGCGTGGATCGATGCGACTGGATTGTCTGGTCCAGACTCGATTATTTACAGACCGCCGTCAAAAGCTGGAGTATTGCGTATTACGGAGTTACACAAACAAACAAACAAACTAAACTAAACTTGTATGAGCGGTGGGGTAGGTAATCCCTGAAGATGAACCGCTGCACATGCATATGCTTTGTAATCATGATACTAGTATTCAAATTAACCTTAATCGATTGTCAAAAGACATAACTGAACACATTTGATGAATGTTATCGTTGGGTCTCTCGTCACCGATGGTGGACAAACAGCTCGTGAAGCGTTGTGTCAGTGTACCATACAGTTACTATACCAGCGAGATATATGTCACATCACAACTAAGGGGCGGTCGGGTAGCCTAGTGGTTAAAGCGTTCGCTCGTCACGCCGAAGACCCGGGTTCGATTCCCGACATGGGTACAATGTGTGAAGCCCATTTCTGGTGTCCCCCGCCGTGATATTGCTGGAATATTGCTAAAAGCGGCGTAAAACCGTACTCACTCACTCACAACTAAGTGTATATATATATATACAAAGACTCCGCAAGGTTCAGCTGTGGCTTCTCCATCCTAAATGCGGAATACATGTCCATATGGAGCTTGTTGCACATTGAATATTTAATAGCAAACTGGATTCCAGCTAAGCTGTTAAGATCTGTTTCGTACTTTTATATTCTGTTTCAGTACAGCTCGACAAACCAAGATGACTGCTCCAAACTACACTGTTACCTCGATACTAGTAAGTTATTTATTTAACCTTTCCTTTATTTTCAAAACTACTATACTTTCTAGACCACACATAGATACGCATAAACCTGTTAACACGCTCTTCTTTCCTATATCGGTAAGTGTCCGACTGTTCTATTGTGTCTGTCACATTAAACATTATTGACTGAAAGAGGGGACCAAGTCAATTATTTTTTGGATATTTGTTTTCAGGAAATCCAGCATATCAAGTGAAAATATCTTTTAAAATAATTGACAACAAATGATTTCTTATCGAAAAATTACTTCATCAGTATTATTGTAATATGAACTGCCGCTCAAAATAAAGTATAGATTACACCCATGTTTGATTGTGGCTAAAAGTGAAACAAACAAGAAATGGTTATTCGATGGTGATGTATTTGATACAGGTTACACAGCTGTGTTTTGAACCTCAAGTTTGCAATGTTTCGGCGACTGTTTTCAGTCCAGTAATTTTTAAATAACGTTTTTTGGTCAAATCCCATTTCCATGTGTATGCTTACTTTTGCCTGGCAGTTTTATGTATCTAGTATTTAGTGATGTCGCGATTCACCGATACACCGGTGTATCGTCGGCAGACTTTGCAAGATACGATACCCGATACACTTAATTTGGGATCGATTCACATTTAACCCCATATCGATGTTGATCTCGCAACGATATCGAGTACAAAATCATTTTCTTCCCTCCTAAACATGATAAAATGTCGTCTTTTAGATACGAAACCGGCCCGATAACTAAACCGACTAGCTTTCCCTTGCTGCTTATCATAATACAGCCAAGCCTGGTTCCCTGGGTATGCTGCGCTGGCGCTACACTGACCCAGGCAATGCACGCTCCTCACAGCGATAGTCCGTTCGCGGAGCTCTCTATACTATCGCTGCCACCAGTCAAAACTCCCCACTGTGATAGGTGGCCCCAACCATGCTTGGAGTTTAACTCGCAACCGAACGACCGTTATGTTTACACACAAGTGACGACTGTCGTGACGCCGAATACACTTACCGCTGATAAATTACTTCTTTTTTTGTCAATTTGAATTTCTATTTAATTAAAGTGAGTGAGTGTGGTTTTACGCCGCTTTTAGCAATTTTCCAGCAATATCACGGCGGGGGACACGGCGGGGGTTTTCGGCGTGACGAGCAAATGCTTTAACCACTAGGCTACCCGACCGCCCCCTATTTTATTAAAACTATCATGTAATTGATATAGTAAGAATGTAAGGGAGAAGTTGGTTGATTTTCCGTTAGTCTGCAATCTTGAACCAATCTGATTATACAAACAACAAAGTAAATTCATCTTGAAAACATGGTCAGTCGTAAACCTTTTCAAAATGAAATATAATGGCATCCCCAAAGACATAAACAAAAGTATAAACGTTACTACATTTGGGGTTAGAGGGCAAGTTTCAAGATTCTTGTAATGGCCGCGCCCACACTGGTTGCAGCGATGTTACAGGGAGTATAACGAAGGTGTCACGCGCTGGGAAGGAGCTTGCCAGGCAATGACTGCACAATGGCCGCCTCCACTGGACGAACAAACATGGCGGACACGACATGTATTTACTATAGAAACTCTAGCACGGGTGGAGTGTAAAAAGTCCTGCTAACAGCTTCAGTAGCAGAGCCATTAGTGATGTCATTTGATTGTGACGTCATGGTAACCAATGAAGTCACAATGGTCTGCAAAGCATTGTGATGCAATTTCATTGCAGCGATATCTAGGGCGCGTTGCAAGCCACGAATCGCTCAGAGAAAGCAAATTAATCGCTCATCCTGGTTGTCTGCAACAGTTCGAAGCGCTTGCCCACTCTTCCAAAATGGCGGCGCAACTAGCGCTTGGTTGCCTTGACGTAATGAAGAACGTAATAGAAGAGGCTCGATGACGAGCTGATGGAATTCATGACTACTTTGAAGATGTAAAGCAGGCTGAGGATGATGGGGTCTTCGCTGCCTTTGCTCATTTCCTCGTTGATCCAGTCAAGAATTTCTTGTTCCGCTGTCAAAGTGAGCCGCCATTTTGGTTTGAGAACGAAGCGACCTCAGCCAGCGTTTGTTTCGCTTGCAAGCGGCTGAAAGTTAGCGCACTGTTGTAAGGCGAATCGCTGTACATCGATTGCAAGCGATTGGCGCTTTGCAACGCATCCCTACAGTGTAGATATCGCTTGATCTCACCCAAGCGATATCTCCTGTGGGAGCCAGTTTTGGATGATAAATTACTATTATAACATCTCACTACATCTCCTAAGAATGGAAACTTGTTAACAATGCGCTCCAGACAAGACCTATCTATGAATCCCATACTGGTGACAATGTGGGCCAAGTTCTCTCTTCAGCTGTAATTGAATGGAAAATTGAAAGGAATATGCCAGTGGCATGTGCTACTGAGAATGTAGCAAATATGACAGTGGCACTGACGAATGCTGGATTTAGGCAGGTAAAATGCTTTGGACACCTGTGAATCTTGCTTCCCAGGAGGCCCGTAAAATTGACAACGTGAACAGACCTATAAATAAATTTAGACAGATTGTCGGTGTTTTCCATGGTAGCTCCACAGCCACTACCCTTCTCAGAGAACAGCAGTTGATGTTACTGCTTCCCAAACATACTGTGATACAAGGTGTGTCCGCTCGGTGGAACTGCAGCTATGACATAGTGGAAAGGTACTTAGAACAGCGGCCTGCGGTGATGTCTGTTCTAATGTCAAAGGAAGTACCTTGGATTGAGTGAGACAGACCTTTCCAACGCTAAAGATCTTGTTACTATTTTGAGTAGCATGTCGTCCATTTGACCACATGTAGGGAAATAACAAGCCACAATGGGATTCCGTGTTAGAATTGTTCCGGGTATTTGGGATGCGGTTGAGGTGGTATGTGGTCGACAGTTGCAGCAGGCCGGGAGAGACAGATTGCCACGCGCTTATCACTTAACTGACACATCTAATTATTAACTAAACATCATTAACTAGCATGCTTGTCGTAAGAGGCGACTAGGATCGGGTGGTCAGGCTCGCTGACTTGGTTGATACATGTCATTGATCCCAATTGCGTGGATCGATGCTCATGATGTCAATCACTGATTGACTGTCCAGACTCGATTATTTTACAGACTGCCGTTATATAGCTCGACTATTGCTGAGTGCGGCGTTAAACAACAAACAAACATTAACTAGCCGTAACATTATACAATGTAGAGTGAGTTAATTTAAGTACTTAATTAATGTAATAAACAATTGAGTATCTTAATACCTGAGTTTTTAACCTGAACATCAACGCGCCAGGGGTTGAGGAGTGATTTTGGCCGTGTTTACCAGGAGTGAACTGCACCGCCAATAAACTGAGGATTTCTTTGTTTCCTGAAATATAAGATTTAAGGTTAATCTAGCTCAAGCAATCATGAGACTAACGTTAAGATATATCAATATTTAATTTTTTCAAACATCATATATGCTTACACATTCACAATGGATCAATTCCTTTACCTTAACTTCATCTTCAACATCTTCAAAGGGAACTGAGAGATGTACTGCTGACGACGGTATACCGTTTCCTGACACCCTGAACACTTAGGTCACATAGTGAAGAATGATTCTATATTGAATTTCTGATATATACTTATTTTACTTATTTAATTCTTTATTAATTGAGTTAGCGTGACCAGAGGACGTTTTCTCTAAACATATTGGGCGTTTTCTCCAAGTACAAAGGACGTTTTCTCTAACGCGTCGGCCGTTCTGTCTAATTGACCAGCGGCCGTTTTCTCCAGTTCCCCTTGATGCAATGTCTGATGAAATGTGAGATGAGACAGGGACGCGCTCCCTCCTTTTATATAGTCTAACCAGCCTCCAGCACTTTCCACACAGTGCCAGACCAGTCCAGTCTCACTTGAACATCACAGAAATCCACATGGTTCTTTTTTTTACATTTGACATCCATGCTATTCCGGAAGTTTAGAGATAATTTGAGCTTCTAAACTGAATAACTTCCTCACCACTGCAACATTAAATAGTACTACCTTCCTGACAAATAATCATTGTCCAAATACAATGCAATATACTTCTACTGAATCTCAACCGAAACAGTGTTATACAGCTACAATCACTGTTTAACAACTAACTACACTGCCATATATACTCTTCAAAAACGAAAAGCAATACGGATATTTATAAAAGCATAAAAGCAAAATTAGCGGACCAAGAGGGGCAAAATGAAGAGGTTTAATGTGTTTAGTGGCAGTGACAAATTTCCCGAATCAAAACGATCACAAGGACATGAAAACCATTTGTCGGGAAACACGTACGATTCGGAAAAACGCAACCAGTGCATTTAACAAAGGGGCCATGGAGCTGCACGCACTGCACGTGCGATATTAAAGTGCAGCGTCAATCGAATAGTGACAGTTCAACAACATGCCAAGATTAACAGAAGTGCAAGGAGACAACGTCATAGGCCGTTTACAGGCAGGGGAATCCCGATCAGCTGTAGCAAGAGTTTTCAATGTAACGCCCATCACCATCACAAGGCTATGGGGCCGGTTTTAACAGCATGGGTCAACACGTGATCGGCCAAGGTCGGGGCGACCACGAGTAACCAGCCCCGCCAAAGATCCCTACATCCGACTGCGCCACCTACGAGAAAGGACGACCACAGCCACCTCAACCGCATCCCAAATACCCGGACTGTACAGAATCTCCGACCAGACCGTATGAAACCGTTTAAGAGCAAGACGACCTGTTCTACGCGTCATATTGAGCCAACAACATCGTCAATAACGACTGCATTTGTGTCGTCAACGCAGGCCTCAACTCGGATGGAGAAATGTCTGGTTCAGCGACGAATCAAGATTTCTCTTCCGTCGAGGGGAAGGAAGAGCACGGGTCTTCAGACGTCGGGGAGAACGTTGCGCCGGAAACTGCGTACAGGAAGGGCACAGGTTTGGTGGGGGTAACGTTTTGATGAGGGCGGCTATCTCTCATCATGGCAGGACAAGTTTGGGTCCATATCCCAGGGCAATCTTACGGCTCAACGATACATCAACGAAATTCTCCTACCACACGTCCTCCCAAATTGCAGCCAACGGCAACAGTGTATTCCAGCAGGACAACTCTCGACCGCATACAACACGAATCACACGAGCCTGTCTACACAACAAGAACGCTGATGTTTTCCCCTGGCCCTCCAGATCCCTGGATTTGAACCCGATAGAGCACCTGTGGGATGAATTGGATAGACGGCTACGCCGACGTCAACCACTACCACAGACGTTGCAGCAGTTGGCTTTTGCGTTGCAGGCCGAGTTGGCTACCATTCGCATACTCGTCTCTTCCATGGGCAGGAGATGTCAGGCCGCTATTGATTCCAACGCGTTATGGATGGTAGCTGACCTTCACCTTGGACTTTTCCTATGAACCGATAACTGAGATGACTACAATCACCAAGGGTTCTCTCCACAACAATTTGGCTCGATACCTGTACGGTTCCTCGCGTAAATGTATTTTCCTACCACACACAAATCTGGCCTTGCGTTTCTTTTATTGAAGAGTTATAACACTATAAAAGTCCAGTTCCACCCTTGCCGAACTAGGCTGGAGTAACGAGCCAATGCATTGTCGAATCAAAATCGCGGATCAAAATAGGCATCCGGTCCATAAACAACATGGCGACTGCCGTGCAGATTTCGGCCGATTGCACGATTTGCAGAGAATGTATACTGTCAACTGGGTCTTGACATAGATTTTCCAATTATTTTGTTCTTTTAATCAAGGTGCTCAAGTGATTTGATGCACTTCGCTTAATAAGACTCGTTGTATTACAATACAGATCTTGATTAACGATTATATCGTCTTGACTGGGCGCCGTGTTTGAAGCACAATAATGCAAGTGTTATGGAAGAATCTAATCGGTCAAAAGAAGGGACATAGAAGGGACATAACTCGAAAAAGCCACTGGTGGCGCTACGATCGAGCTACGAAATTTATGCTCAGTTCGGCAAGTGTTGAAACTGGAGCAATTGTTGCTCACATGCCAATACGTCACATGGACGGCATGATATCCCTATTACACAAAGTTACGTGTTCAATTCTCTTTATGTGTATTTGTCTTCATATTATAGCAATGATTCCGTCTATATATTCCAGTCCAGCCCCTACGTCATGAACAAAGATGGCGGTGGCTACAAGGGATTCCTCGTTGATTTACTCGAAAAAGTCGCTGAGGAGGTGGGGTTCAATTACAACATTCGGCTCTCCAAAGACGGCAAGTACGGATCTTATAGCAATGGATACTGGAATGGCATGATTGGAGAGGTGGTGCGAAGGGTATGCATACAGACTTATTAATCGTGTATTTCGTGTGTGTTTTCATCTTTTTGTCTACAATAGACTCTTCTGTCAGGAGATACTTTTTTAATATTGTCGCTTTTATACTTTGTATCAGTGTTTTTGTTTGTTTGTAACTTTGGTGGGTTTTTTAATTCAATAACTCATTTAGGACATATTTATTACATTCAATATATATAGTACTGTTTTCAATATATAAACCGAAAATCAAAATATGTTTAGAACTTCTCTGAAAGCACAATACCAAGAGAAAATTAGCCTAATGTGACGAATAGTAAAAATAGTTTAGTCCGAGACATCTGATCAACTCCCATCTTCGTTTCCTTGACCAGGAGGCAAGCATTGGTCTAGGAGACGTTACCATTACCAGAGAAAGAGAACGAGTTGTGGATTTCTCCAAACCATACCAATCCCAGACACTACGTCTTCTAGTGAAAAAGCCTTCTTGGCATCCCCCCGGTCTTGGCTTCCTACTAGATCCATTCTCGTCGGAGATTTGGCTTTCTATCCTGTTTGCACTTCTTCTTGTGGCAATCCTGTTCGTCGTCATCGGTCGGTTCAACCCGTTTGAATGGAGACAAGTGGCATCGGACAAAGACCCCAGAGGCGCAAGGCACAGCTTTGGTCTGAGAGAGAGTTTCATGTTTGTGTTCAGCACCATCACACTTCAAGGTAATAAATTAAATTTCAGGCAATGACTCTCACATTCCATACTTTTTCTTCTCAATACGTATTTCAATTCGCCTTTTAGTCATTATATTTCCACAGTAATTTGAAGCTTGATCCGTTAAACTGCACATATAATAAAGCATCTCCAGAATGAGTTGTGTGCTGTTGATACCAACCCACGTTTAAAATATAATTATGTGAATACAATGTAACAAATGTTATATTTGGGATGACACTTTCTCAAAGTGAGGCACCTTATCACCACCACACAAAGTCAGCGATCTAACCCATTCAGCCTCCGAGGTTTCCACCGATAAGGTGCCTCACTCTGGCAATTTGGGTTCGAATCCCGAAAGCAACTCATCCAAAAAAAAATACGAAAATCTGTAACTTTACTAAGAAAGTGTTATTCCAAACATAACATGTGATACATTTGACCACTTTCTAAATGATATTGTATGTTAATATGAATAAAATTTACTGTATTTAGAAATCAATGTTTCCAGATGTATAACGTGTGTTGCAGGTTACCGAGAGACTCCCCGGTCTCTGGCAGGTCGCGTGTTGGCGGTGTCCTGGTTCATCTTCGTCTTCTTCATGGTGGTGGCCTACATAGGAGCAGCCACGGCCTTCATGTTTGCGGGACAGAGCATGCCATCAATGCCTTTTGAAGATCTTGAGGACATTGTCGATCACAGACAAATCCAAATAGGAATGGTGCGAGGTGGAAGTTCGTTTCAAAAACTCAAGGACAGTAAGATAGGCATCTATCAGCGTGTGGCTGACTACGTTGAAATGCAGAATTCGTTTGTAAACAGCACGAAAGAAGGACTTGAAAGGGTTAGAGGCAGAGCTGGACATTTTGTAATGTTGATGGAGTCATTGAGAGCAGACTACATTGCCCAGCAGTTGCCCTGTGATGTTATGGTGTATGGCAATAGTCATTTCAGTATGAGCTTGGGTCTTTTCACAAATCAAGGATCTGGTCTCAAGCAGAAAATCGATGATGCACTCCTAAGATTGAGGGAAGATGGCACAATACACATTCTGCAGCAAAAGTGGTGGACATTAATGGGGAGGTGTCCAGTGGCTCGTGTTGCGAACAAACGGCAACAAACCATCACGGCTTCTCAAGCAACACTTCGGAAACTTGCAGCACCGTTCCTGCTGCTGCTGATAGGTGCTATCCTGGCTGTTGTGGTCCTGGTGGGCGAGATCGTCTTCAGGAAACTCAGGCAGTAGATGCCCGCACTGCATTCATGCATGGGCCGCCCTTCCACGATGTTACGTCTCGCGAACTCATTACCATTCTTCTCGTCACTCTATGGCTTTACACTGCCGGAGTTACTGCCGATGTGACGTTAAATATTAACTCACTATTTACCATTCCTCATTGCTTTTAGTATCAACACCATGTGCATCTTAATTAGGTGTTGTATTGACTGTTGGCACCGTGTCACAATGTAATCATGGACTTATGTATATCTAGATACATGGACACCCTATATAAACATTTACTTTGACGAACGTGTGCTTTACGATCTCTGCCTAGTAGATGATTAGTTGTGCAATGTATGCATGCAGATTCAGTAGGTAGGTTTATAGTTATGAAAAAGTGAAAAAAATATATACTTATTGTTCATTCAGAAAAACTGCATGTTTTTCTAACATTATTTATATTGTTTACCTTTGTGGCAGATGTTCATTTCAGCGGTTCGCATTCAGGATGTGTGATTGTTTCGGCTGGCCAAGTAGTCGTGGGCGCCGGAATTCGCTTAACAGATTGTGTTCCCTAGATGTACTGGAACCCTATGATCGTGGGTTCGAATCCCAGATTCGCCCTACATGTTTCGTTGATTATGCTAAGATAATCTTGGGTTCGAGTCTGAGGTTCGCCCTGATTATCCTTGGTTTGTCACAACCATACCCATGTGGGTTTCGGCAAAGTGGTAAGCGTCTTAGGCTTCCATCGCCCGCCAGCAGGCTTTCCTCACACATCCTGCTGATGTAATTCTTACGTATGGAATGAATTTTGTCCCTTTTATTTATGCATCTTAAATGTCACTGGAGAACAATTTCGGTGTATGCATGCACATGTAACCTTAAGCAGTTTCTTATATACTTGTATTAGATTTGGTCTGTTATTTAGGAAGCAGAATAAACTGTGTCAATTATTTACAGTCCTGTCTTTAACACGCTTTTAATGAACAGGTACGGGTGCCAAACTGTTCAATCAATTTCACCAAAAAACATAATGTTGACACAAAACAATCATATTTCACCTATGAAACATCTTATAAGATTTGTCAAGTACTGCATTTCCACATCCAATATACATACGGGGTTTTTTAATGGTTTTCAACTTACACTGACGGTGACTTCAGGGTAACATTGTCAAAGCCAAGATCAGAGTGTAGGTATCAATTTTGTTTTTGGGTCAAAAGAAGGTTCGGGATGGACTTATACACAATATGACTTGCATTTCATGACATTTTATTACTTAAAAAGTATCTGTACAAGGCATCAAAACGGACTACATTTTTGCATAAGGGTTTGTATGAGAAATGTTAACATAATGCGTCACAAAAAATGCTATGCAGAGGAGAGTTTGTATGGAATATCATCAGAAGTATTTCACAACGTCAGTTTGCATGGAATATATTTCATCATTCAGGATGATTTCTCTTTTTATCCGATACAGTAAATCGTTATAAATCTTATTTGTGGGGAGGGTTTATGTTGAGCAATATTCCCGCAGCTTCAGCTCTTGATGTCTGCATTTCACAACTTTTTGAGGTACAATCGAGCATCAAAGAGCGTCATACAACTCTTGCTCAGAAGCTCAAGATCAAGGTTACATTAAGTAAAGCTTTCAAAAGGTTTTATGGTAGACACGTGGAATGCTCCCGTGCTTTCAGGTGAACAATTGACCTGCCTTTGCATGTGTTTGGGACGGGTGTCACCGGTGGAGCAGGATACGCTCATCTTGTATCATCACTAGTTGATAAACACATGCTCATGATATAGTCGGAAACGTACAATCGACTTTTTGAACTATGAATATGGAAAGGGATTTGTCGCTTTTTTTGTATTGTTTTGAGTATGTAAATATGATTTTAAGAAACTGGTGTTTTGGGGCGGAATATTTGATTCCGAATATTTTGGATGGCAGGGTTGTATAGATTATGTATTGTAATCAATCCAAGGCGGTACGGAGAGGGTGTCTTTCAGTTATATTAACATAATACATCATTTTGTTTGTTTGTTGTTTAACGCCGCAATAAGCAATGCTCAAGTTATATAACGGCGGTCTGTACATAATCGAGTCTAGACCAGACAATCCAGTGATTTGTATCATGAGCATCGATCGTGCAATTGGAATACGATGACATGCTTCAACCAAGTCACCGAACCTGACCACCCGATCCAATATGGCGCCTCTTACGACAAGCACAGATTGTTGGGGACCTATATTCTTACGCGGTATCCCCACGTGTCTATATTATTGAATACAAAACCTCCATAAAACAAACTCCTTCTGAATAATTGATACCATATAACCGATACAAATCCTCACTCATTTATCCTTTTAAATCAAAACGTCAACGCCAAGGGATATTTAGTCTCGATTATTTTCCTCTCCCATCGGGATAAATAGCGGTGAAAATTACATGAATGGACCACTGATAAATCAGTAATGACACCAGATGTTCGAGAACGGTCACTAGTCTGATCCAGGCCTGACTATTGATTCTGCTAGGAATATCCAATGAAAACATCATCAGGCTCAAGGGCCCAATTGCACAAAGCGATCTTAGCGCTAAGATGATCGTAACTCCCATACTTTAACATAAGCTTACAATAGTTGTAGTGCTAAGATCGCTTTGTGCAAGTGGGCCCAGAAGATTCAGAACACTGCGGCAGGGATTGTAACACAGTCACCTGTAAGAACACACATATGCCTAGTGTTAAGATCCCTCCATTTTCAAAGATGATTTCAAGTTATGAGGATGAGATGAGAGATGATTTCAAACCCTTACGTACAAGTTTGTAAACGGAACAGATCCATCTTATCTCAACGACCATGTCCATGTGTACCAGCCATTTAGGAACTTACGGTTTGGTGACAAATTTCAGCTGGTCATCCACACTAAACGTAAAGCCTTTGGTGCCGAATCTTTGGAAATAACTGCTGCATTAATAAAATACATTTCCAATTTCTCTCAGAACATATTATTATTATTATTAGTAGTAGTAGTAGTAGTAGTAGAAGTAGTAGTATTAGTAGTAGTAGTAGTATTATTTACAGATTAAAATAAAAAATGCAGCAAAGAGGGTTTGGGTGATCCTAACACAGTCAGGCTGGTTAGGCTCATCATCAGCTCAAGGCCCTTGTTCCCTCTACACGCAGCCAATGGGACTTCTCCAAGGGAGGGCTGCCCAGTCAAACCAATCGAGAACTTGATTTCATAAAATGCCTGCAATGCCTTTAATGCTGAAACGTTCACTGTCTAGCTTAGTTGTAAGCAGTTTGTGTCTTTGAATATGATTTTACAAAAATGTACAAGGACCTAAGCGAATGAGAATACCGACGCCATAAGTTGGAGCTGGTGGTAATGTTCGACATGCTGGAGGACGAAGAGCGAAATCGTACAGCTTGGTACTGATGTTGCCATCATTTTGATGACGTGTGATATGGTTTTAGTGGATTTCCATCTCTGATGCATAGATGGGGTCAAGATACTCATCTTATCATTGCTGAAAGAAACTAGGGACCTTTTGGACAACGTGTTTGATTTAACTAAAGTGACAAATAAAGTAGTAAGAAGATTCGAATGCAACAAAAAGCAGATCAGTTACGAGAGGTTCAAGTAGTAACCGTTGGGAAACCTCCTATTTGTCTAAATGTTCAATCCCAAATATTGACAAGACATTATTGTCAATCAGGAAGTCCATCTATTCACATGGAAATACATTCAGAAATACCGCGTCCGTTAAAAAGTGCAATAAACGTATATTTTCACGATCACATTCTTGGAAACCAAAGTCCTATTGATAACAGAATGAAATTTCTATTTCAATTATTTTAGATCGTATAACTTTCATGATCCACAAGTGATTATTTCCACTTGTCTCAGTATTTAATTAGGCCTTGCTTGATTGTTGTCAGAAATATCGTTAGTAGTTTTGACACGGATTAGGTGGCATATTGCGGAACCCAGCAATATATATCTTCTTAGATTGATTCTTATAATAGGTCTACAGCAACCCATGCATGCCGTAAAAGGCGACTATGCTTGTCGTAAGAGACGACTAACGGGATCGGGTTATCAGGCTCGCTTACTTGGTTGATGCATGTCATCGATCCCAATTGCGTGGATCGATGCTCATGATATCAATCACTGGATTGTAGAAATAATTTCATGATTGTCGTATATTCCTTTTCAGATCAAGGACTCGCTTTGTATGAAGGATTAGTAGATTATCCCTCAATGCCACGTTCCTTGTATAGACAGTTTATATAGTGTGCGAGTAATCCTACACAAGACATATTCCATACAAATGCACCACTCCACCAATCCTTCTAAATCAGTAAATATATTACTAAGAAGAGAAGACTAAAAGATCAAGTGGTCAGGCTCGGTGACTTTGTTGATTACATGTGCGTCGATGCTCATGATATCAATCACTGGATGGTCTGGTATTGACTCGATTATTTACAGACCTCCGTCACATATTTGGTATAGTGATGAGTTCAGTGTTAAGCAACAAACAATTAACTGATCAACATCTACTAACGTGTGCAATTTATGAAGGACATAATTAGGATTCCTTACCCAGAAATACAAAATTTATCAACGAAGTTGGCCACGAAATTTGTTTTCTACTTGTATACAGTGCCATCGTGTGAACATTTCATAGTTATATTCACATTATTAAACTAATTCTCACATCAAACTGGCATGCCAAAAGCCATCAAATTTAACAAATCATCAAACATGGAAGACTCCTGCTTGTCGTCTGAGGTAGTACGCTCAGTTTACAAATATAATCTGTCACAGTAATGGCAATACGTTTATTCTGTCCCAGGCACACTAGATACGAGGGCCCGAGCTTATTGGCCATTTGGCATTTCCAGGACTCAACGTTTGTGGCTCGGGAGCGTGATTCAGACCGGTTGATATTTCTGGAACCCATATCAGAATCCATGCGGCGGCGGTCTCTCGTTTAAGCAAAAGCACTGGGCGCGGAACACTGGGGTAAGATAAAACTGTTTATACTGTCATATCGCTGTGTAATTCATTGTTGAACAATTTGTAATTGTTTTTCTCTGTTTCTGTTAAGATTCAGTCGAAGTACATAACATTGTATTTTAACAATAATTAGTTGTGAGGAATTTATTACTGTGTAATGGAAGAAGTTGTATGTGAGTTACTATATTTAGATGCTTTTGGACTCAATTGCAAAATGGAATCTTCCAGAAACAGCTATAGACTAGTCCAGCATAGTATGGAACATTCTAGAAGGTTATTTAGACTATAGAATAGCGGGCAAAAGCGTGACTCTCTCATCGCACATTACATCAAGACCAGCGGTTGTGGTCTTGGCTGTTAGGAATGTTGGCCGATAATACTTTGGATTTGTTTGAATCATTAGAACTTGAAAGAGATAAATTGGCTAAAGAAAAAGAAACATTGCAATTGGAGCAAAGAACAAAAGGTCACATAGGAAAAAGAGAATCGAAATTGAAGCCGAGTAAGAAAAAAGAAGAGACTAGAATTTCGAATTAAGCAATGGGAAGCTGATACAGAAATTAAGCTGAAATAAATTGAATTACAGAATGCTTTCTCTCTCTCTCCTCTGGTGTTGGCGTTTTGAAATCAGCTGCAGATACATGCTTTCGTGTTGTATAGATGGTTGGTCTTTTTCTTCGTTTTCCAACACAACCAACCGCGAACTCACTACGTAGGCGTCACAAAAACAATATGGCCGTTCGCCTGTTTACAATGTCTGACGAATCGCTATCTCAACAGTGTATCATGCACGCTCTCAGCGTCTGATGCCAATGTTTCCGTGAAGAGGATTGTCAAAACATGCATGAAAGATAGATTCACATGTTACAACTCTCTCTCTCTCTCTCTCTCTCTCTCTCTCTCTCTCTCTCTCTCTCTCTCTCTCTCGGTCTGGCGCTAGGCATTAAAGGGCTAAAACAAGTACTGGTCGGCTCGGAGTCAGTATAGCATTCTCTTGACCTCTTAAACGTTTCAAGGGAGAGTACTCACAATTTGGCAGTTAAGGGACCAGCTTTGGGATGGGAGCAGTTAATTAAGTTACAGGAGGAAGACGCAGAACTCAAAATTCTTGCCATTAGGGCAATCTCTTTAGAAGAAGCTGACAAAGTTCGAGTTTGCTATTTTTCAATGACAGCGTTTTGATGAGGTGAGGTGAAATGGGGTTTAACGTCGCGTCCAAGATTATTGCACTTATACAGCGACATGCATGCAGGTGTGTGTGTGTGTGTGTGTGTGTGTGTGTGTGTGTGTGTGTGTGTTTGTGTGTGTGTGTGTGTGTGTGTGTGTGTGTGCTTGTTCTAGTCCGGACTGATGCCGATTTTTTTATTCTAGCCCGCTAAGATACCATGCCGCAGTTTAACATGAATACCCCACTCAGATACACTATACTAACTCCGAGCCGACCAGTCCTTGTTTTAGCCCCTTAATGCCGAGCGTCAGGCAGGGTAACAACAAGTACCATCTTTTACCGTCTTTTAGTATGGAATGTCAACAGGAATATCTATCAAGTGACCATCTTTGGTAACATTATATACTACAAATCCAGGTGAGCTACAGTGCCGTGGCGCTTCTGAAAAAATAAATCATGTCTGCTTCTCCAAATCTACTGAATGTATAATAACTATGTCCACACACACATGTTACATGTTTTCAAAGATGCTTTGCTTAAAGATCAAAGTGCCGACTGTACGCCTTTTGAATTATGTCATAATGGACTGTGATGTCGGGTCGCTGTTCAAATTACCTCCCCCGTGATCTAACGTATCCTTGGCAACACCGTTTTTCCATTACTGTTAAGCAAGGTGGCACATTCACATCACTTTCAGTGAAATGGTTTCTCTAACCTTGTCCATTACAAGGAAGCGTCCTCGTGCTTGAACTCTACAAGTTCGGGGCAAACCTACACTTTATAAGACTACATGGGGTTAGAGCAAACTTTCTTTCTTAACTACATGACCTGGCTACAACGAAATCATAATTAGCACTCACCACTTAAATGTTATATCTTTCATTAAAGGTGAGCTTCTGTACCTTGTTTGTTTATTTGTTTGTTTGTTGTTTAACGCCGCACTCAGCAATATTTCAGCTATATGACGGCGGTCTGTAAATAATCGAATCTGAACCAGACAATCCAGTGATTGGCATCATGAACATCGATCCACGCAATTGGGATACGGTGGCATGCATCAACCAAGTCAGCGAGTCTGACCACCCGATCCCGCTAGTCGCCTGTTACGACAAGCATAGTCGCTTTGTACCTTGGTGCTCTGGTTTAGAAGACGCCTTCGTGATATGCATTGTTATAATTCAGTTTCTGTTTCAGTGTCACAATCTTAGTCTTTAAAGTTCGGTTCAAGATGAATTCTACTGGTACTGTCTACAATGTCACCGCGGTTCTGGTAAGTTGATTCAACAGACGATACTTAACTTCATACGCGTAAGTGCGGTTGTACTTTGCATTTAGCAATATTAGGAATGGATATGGGGAGTCGAACCCGGATCTTACACAAACCCCTTAACCTTGAGGCTACTCCTTCGCCCTTCAAGTCCATAAATAATACGTGCCTCTCACTCCACGGCGGCCATAAGATTAAAAAGAATTACTTCAATTACAGGACCTATATATTTCTTGTCAAGTATTTGGTAGAATGAATATTATTGTGCGTCCATTCTATACATTTTGGCGTACTGGACGCATATTTCTCCGTCGCGTCAAATCCCAGTTTCCAACATGTCATGTCTACTTGTTTTTACAATTCGTGACATGTTGTAGTTGTTTATTTTTACAATTATTAAATCCTAAAATGCATTAATTATGTCAGCCTGTTTCAGGTTACACACAACCAAATGTCTTCCCATAGACTTCTATAGTAACGCTATATATTTTTTTTAAATAACTAAGCATTCAACAGCTATTACCTGTACGTGTGTGCACAGTTTGGCCTTAGAGCAGCAATAAAAAAATATAAAATGACTAAGTTAGCCAGCTCCTTTTCCGAGTACAGAAAGCTCAACACACCACCCCCAGTTTCGCACCAAATGTCACCTACTTGAAAATAGCTGTGGTCACATTCAGCATAAGTCATCATGTTGAAAAAGACAGTCCTAAATATAGCAAAACATGGTCAGTTTTAATAACTGGATGGATGTACATTTGAAAGACATAAAAATCTTACAGAATATCCTTCAATCACAGCCTGCAGATATCTCTCGATCTGCACTGAAGGCTCCCTACGAAAACCGCACTGTCCAAACTGGTTCTGATTTGGTGTAGTAGAATCTTCACTGGGTATGCTGCGCAGGCGCTCCAGCGCATCATACCCAGGGAACCAGGCTGGAAATATGTTTACCGCAATAGTGAGAGGGAGCTAGTGCTGACGTGCCGGTTCTTCACAAACGGAATACGGTTGGACCTAGTTCCGGTCTGAATTCAGTTTGACGACTGCGTTCATTTACTGTTGTAGGGATTGTCATTCGTCACCCGTCCCGGAATAACACGAGTTGGTCACGAATGAGGCATTGTTTATCAAATCAGTATGTAAGGGGTATCGTCGTGTAGTTTTCAAAAACATGGCGTGAGTTGTCAAACGGGGAAAGAATTGAAACATAGTGTTCATTTTGTTTTACACATGCCCGTGTTGAATGAACAGTTTGGGAAAATCATGTTATTGTATATACTTTTTTGGCCGCCGTGTTGTTGTCTCGCATCAAAGTTGTCTTGTGCACATGATATATACGTTTTCAGGTTCGACCTACTTCGCCACTTCCGGTCTTGGAAATGTTGCATTGTGACGTCACACAATTGGAGTGACGTCATGGTCACTATATATGAAGTCACTAATCTCTGAAAATAGCCTTAATATCCTTGGCCGCTCAGTACGACATAAAGTTAATCACCAGTCGATCAGTTTAGGATGAGTGATCACTCGGCGGAGACTTGGTGACGCGAATGTTATTTCAGCCTATCTATTACGACCGCCTCCGTGGTCTAGTGGTAGAGCGTCCGCCCGGAGAGCGGAAGGTCCGGGGCTCGATCCCCGACCGCGTCATACCAAAAGACGTTAAAATATGGTACTTGTTACCCTTCTGGCGCTCGGCATAAAGGTGTTAAAACAAGGACTGGTCGGCTCGGAGTCAGTATAGTGTTTCTGAGTGTGGTATTCATCTTAAACTGCGTCATGGTATATCAGTGAGCTAGCACTATAAATCGGCATAGAAGCCACACACTCACACGTGCATGCACGTCGCTATAAATGCAATATTTAATATTAAACACCCTGGACCAATTCGCCACCATAGTCTCGTGTTCATCCAGATTCGAATCGAACGACGCTTAAACAAATCGCCGTCCAATCAAATAACGCTCTTGAAAGATACAAATTTTGTGCTAAGTTAGTGGTAAGAGGGGTCGAAACGTGACGTCACTTCCGGTACAAACTATAGCGTCAAATGGGTCAAGGGTACATATCAAAAGCGGATGGAGATGTAATACCCCTGATATGCGAGGATATGCGCGGTCTGTAAGTGTTCGGGTCAAGAAGACCAGTGGTTAAAGAAACAGAATTTCTTCATCCCTCGTTTCTGTTACAAACCCGGAGAGCGGACTAGTACAAGCAGCCACACAAACACACACACGTACATGCACGTCGCTATATAAGTGCAATAATCTTGGACGCGACGTTAAACCCCATTTCACCTCACCTCACCTCACCTGTTACAAACATTCCGCTGTGTATTTCTAAATGGGTGGGGTGGGTTGTTGTGTCATCTCAAAATCTCATTATTTTTTAACTAATCACCCCTGTCGTCTTTCTTGGCTGTTTGCACCCTTACAAAACACCATCCGCTGATTGTCATGTTACACCGAGTCCTTCCTATATAAAAAAAATTTCTGGGAGAGGAATATGTACCGCTGGCATGTGATCTGTAGGAATGAGAAATGGCCGATCTCCTTTTGTTCCACAGTCGAACCCCTACGTCATGAAGAAACATGGCGGCGGATACAAGGGATTCCTGGTTGATTTGCTCAACAAAATCTCTGAACAGGCGGGGTTCAAATACAACATTCAACTCGCTAAAGATGGAAATTATGGCTCTCTTGTTGATGGACGATGGAATGGCATGATTGGAGAGGTCGTAAGAGGTGTAGGTATACACATCTACCCTAAACAGCAGCATGCATGCACACAGCTTTTGTGTCTGTAACCACATCTCTACATGTACTGCGGTTAGGCCTTATATATATCTAGAACTTATTGAAGTATTGACGCCGCACTTAGTTTTTGAAACCAAACTGTGCTTGGACATTGTAGTGTCTAGATTATAGCCAGAAGAAACAGTTGTTTGTTTGTTTGTTTGTTTGTTTGTTCGTTGTTTAACGCCGCACTCAGCTATATGACGGCGGTCTGTAAATAATCGAGTCTGGAACAAACAATCCAGTGACTGACATCATGACATGCATCAACCAAGTCAGCGAGCCTGACCACCCGATCCCGTTAGTCGCCTCTTACGACAAGCGTGGGTTGATGAAGACCAGTTCTACCCCGGATCTTCACGGGTCAGAAACATTTCAACTCGAGTACCACTGACTGTTTATGTCAATGAAACTCAGAGCATCTCATCCTTAGGTTAGGTCCGAAATCGGAAAAAGTCTTGAATGACAAAAACAAGGTCACATGCAGTGAAGATGATTCGCAAAGAGTCTTTTTATTCGCTGTTGAAACAATATTTTCTGATAGAGTTGGTTCTTGACAATGTTTGATCTGAAACATGTCAGGAAGTAACAATCTACTGACAATGACAATGTTTTCAGTACTATCACCCAAAGTAAATTGAGATATTTCCGTTTCCATTTCCAGGAAGCAGACATTGGTCTGGGAGATATCACTATTACAACTATGAGAGAGAGGTATGTGGACTTTTCCAAACCTTATCTATCCCAGTCGCTACGTCTTCTGGGTAAGAAACCTGTGAGATATTACCCTGGCCTTGGCACCCTACTAGAACCGTTCACGGTGGAGCTTTGGCTTTCTATCCTGATTGCACTTCTTCTTGTGGCAATCCTGTTCGTCGTCATCGGTCGGTTCAACCCGTTTGAATGGAGGCAAGTGGCATCGGACAAAGACCCCAGAGGCGCAAGGCACAGCTTTGGTCTGAGAGAGAGTTTCATGTTTGTGTTCAGCACTATCACACTTCAAGGTAATAAATTGAATCCTTTCAAGTACTGATCCTCAAAATCCAAACTTTTCTCTTTCAGTAAGTCTTTCTCCACAATATAAAACCTCTCAGGAATGAATACGGTTGAGGACAAGGTACATTTGAAATTGAAAGCCGCGTGTTAAGGTTCGTTGGAATTATACCGCCGCTGGCAATCAATTTTATTTATTGTCTACTGCACAAAGACTTTCTACATTAGGGGTTATTCTGGCAATGTTTGTTTGTTTGTTGTTTAACGCCGCACTCAACAATATTCCAGCTATATGACGGCGGTCTGTAAATAATCGAGTCTTGACCAGACAATCCAGTGATTGACATCATGAGCATCGATCCACGCAGTTGGGATCGATGACATGCACGAAACCAAGCCAGCGAGCCTGACTACCCGATCCCGTTAGTCGCCTCTTACGACAAGCATAGTCGCCTTTTACGGCAAGCATGGGTTGCTAAAGACCTATTCTAACCTGGATCTTCTGGGCAATGTAATAGAATACCACGAGATAGGAAGGAAAAACCTCATTCAAACATTTTTAATTACACTTTCTCAAAACAAATTAATGCATTTTATCATTAAACTTGGTAAATACTCTGCTGTGTGCCATCAGTGAGGCCCTGCTTTAGAAAGGTTTTGGTCATGATCAGTCAAAAGTTCACGTCAGTGTTCAGGATTTTTAAACCATGATTATGTTATGTTCTATGTCTGAGGCGTACTTACCATTACCAATAGCATAATATAGTTTCATGTGTAAACTTTATATTTGCATGTGTCTTTACCGTTCCTTGATCTTGTTCGAAGTACTAGCAAACACTTCTAGTTTACTTAATACTCACTGTTTCTGGATGCTAGAACAATACGTGTTGCAGGTTACCGAGAGACTCCCCGGTCTCTGGCAGGTCGCGTGCTGGCGGTGTCCTGGTTCATCTTCGTCTTCTTCACGGTTGTGGCCTACATAGGAGCATCCACGGCCTTCATGTTGGCGGGAGGAAAGTTGGCCACAAGCCCTCCTGGTGATCTTGAGGACATTGTTAATGACAGGACAGTCCAAGTAGGAATGGTGAGGGGTGGAAGTTCGTTTCAAACTTTCAGGACGAGCACAATAGACATCTATAATCGTCTGGCGGACTATGTTGAAATGCAGGACTCGTTTGTGAGCACCGCTGAAGAAGGACTTGAAAGGGTTAGAGGCGGTGGTGGAGACTTTGTAATGTTGATGGAGTCATTGAGAGCAGACTACATTGCCCAGCAGTTGCCCTGTGATGTTATGGCGTACGGCAAAGGTCATTTCAGTATGGGCTTGAGTCTTATCACAAAGCATGGGTCAGGTCTAAAGCGGGAAATAAATGCCGCACTGCTCAGATTGAAAGAAGATGGAATAATAGGGAAGATGCAGCAAAAGTGGTGGACATTAATGGGGAGATGTCCAGTGGCTCGTGTTGCGAACAAGCAACAACCAACCATCATGGCTGTACGAGTCGGGGCTCGGAGACTTGCAGCACCGTTCCTGCTGCTGCTGATAGGTGCTATCCTGGCTGTTGTGGTCCTGGTGGGCGAGATCGTCTTCAGGAAACTCAGGCAGTAGATGCCCGCACTGCATTCATGCATGGGCCGCCCTTCCACGAGGTTACGTCTCGCGAACTCATTACCATTCTTCTCGTCACTCTATGGCTTTATACTGCCGGAGATACTGCCGATGTGACGTTAAATATTAACTCACTATTTACCATTCCTCTTTGCTTTTAGTATCAACACCATGTGCATCTTAATTAGGTGTTGTATTGACTGTTGGCACCGTGTCACCATGTAATCATGGACTTATGTATATCTAGATACATGGACACCCTATATAAACATTTACTTTGACGAACGTGTGCTTTACGATCTCTGCCTAGTAGATGATCGCAATATGGCTGAGAGATACTCCTCTTCCCTTTGTATATCAACTTTTCCCGAATAAAATTACTTGCATGTGCATCTTGACTTGGAGTTGTGCTAAAACTGTCAGTTTAATCATTGATTTAATCAACCCTAGATACGCGTACACCCCATTTAAATACAGTAAACTACGGTTAAAACGAACTCAAGGGACTGCTAATTGTAGTTCGTTATAACCGTAGTTCGTTATAAGCATATTTACAGCATATATACAGCAATGACCGGGACCAAAAAATAAATTCGTTATATCCGTCAGTTCGTTATAACGGTGTTCGTTATAACCGTAGCTTACTGTATTTATTTTTAAGGTCTTAAACATACAATGTTTCTAGATCGAGAGTGTCGAAGTCTGTTTCTGAATTAGTAGGTTGAGTTTTTATACAAGTGAGTTAAGTTGTGTGTGTGTGGGGGGGGGGGGGGCAGGCTTGTGGTAGATGTTCGAATCTGATTTTCGATTTTGCCGACGAGCAGACATATTGAACAGGTTGAAAACCCTATTATGGCCATTTCTCAGCTATTTGTGTACAAAGTGTAATAAGACTTGGTCCATCTGTTGTTAGCAGTGGGACTCAACATATGTATATATCAAATATTGATCTTGACTTTGCACTTTGGACCAAGACCTTAAATCCTTCTAAGATGCATTTCTTTGCACTGAAAACATAATGTCCTCATGTAAATAATCAAATCTGGATCAAGGAATCCTGCGATCAATATTGTGAGCATTGATCCAGGCCGTCGGGGTATGATGAAGGGCAATCAACCAAGTCTCCGAATCTGACCATCCGATCCACTAACTCATATCTTACGACCAACATAGGTTGCTGGGGACCTATTCTCAACCTAAACAGTTTCACACCTGAATATAATTATATCTCTTATCTGCAGCTGAAGAGGTTAGGTGAAATGGAGATCAATTTTGCGTTCAAGATCATTGCACTTATATAAAGATGTGCATGTGTGTAACCGTTTTATAGTGCTATCCCACGGAGATACCATATCGCATACCTGTGAAGATCCAGGTTAGAATTTATCTTCTGCAACCCATGCTTATCGTAAGAGGCGACTGACGGGATCGGTAGGTCAGACTTGGTGACTCGGTTGACGCCTGTCCAACTGCGTAGATCGGTGCTCAGGATGTAAATTACTGGATTGTCTGGTCCAGATTCGATTATTTAGACAGACGTAATATAGCGGGAATCTTGCAACAATAAACAATAAACAAACAAAAGTTATCCAATATCAGGAAAATCTGAAGAGGTTCATTTTGTTACTTGGAATCGGTTCCATTCTACGTTGCAGAGGTATAAATGAAGGCGAGGCTGAACACAACACTTAAAACAGACTAGTGGCAGATGTTAACACGGCTAGCCCAATACAGCCTACAAATACATGCTCCACAATTTGACCTCATCTGGAAGTCGTACTGATCATTACTGCACTATAATGGCTGTGACATTTCAGCAACCTTCTGGGTGTGCCATCTCATTATTCGGTGTGAATATGCATGTCAGCTACAGCGACAAGGTTGATATTCTGAGAGGGATTTGTGCAGTGTGCGTGTAAGGAAGCCTTTCAGGGCCATTTGTTGTTTTTTATTTCTTTCTTGAAATTTCAACATACTAAGTTGAACTTTTAAGATATTATGTTGAAATTACAAGATATAATGTTGAAATTTCAAGATAATAAGTTATAATCTCAACTTAGGATCTTCTAATTTCAAGAAATAAATAAAAAACAACAAATGGCCCCAAAAGGCTTCCTTAGAAAAGCTGCCACAGACAAAAAAAACTGACTACACTTAATGAACTGTAACAAGCAACACCTCAATTTAAGATATAAATGTTTATTTTGACCATAATATAGTGTATGTAAAGATAATAGCATGCAAATACATAACAAAGCACTTTGCGTCATGGTTAAAATACACCTGTCCAGCAGCTAACAGCATACAAAGTATATACTGAAACATTTAAACACCCACTACTCTGGTACAGCAACACATGGAATATAGCAGCTTCCTGGTGTCAATAAAACAGAGACACTTGTTAAAAAAATAAAATAACCAAAGACGTTTGCCAGAAGTAATCACATCATATCTAATCCTGACAAAGACCTATGTATATATGATAGGTAGGTCTTAAAAACTGGATATCTAATCCTGACAAAGACCTATGTATATATGATAGGTAGGTCCTAAAAACTGGATATCTAATCATGACAAAGACCTATGTATATATGATAAGTAGGTCCTAAAAACTGGATATCTAATCATGACAAAGACCTATGTATATATGATAGGTATGTCTTAAAATAACTGGATATCTAATTCCAGTATAGTTAATACATAGTAAATATGATAAAATATGTTGGTAGCATCACAGTAAGCTAAATACAAGTAAATAATAAACTGATAAAACAGCTAATAGTACCATGTATAGTATTAAAAGTGACAATATGGCAGGTAAAACTTCTGTAAATGGCACACAAATTGGTGGGAGTCATCGGGCTAGTCTTCCCAGCCTGGCTTCAAATGCTGAATAAGAATAAAAGAGAATGTTATATCTTAAAACCTGGGTGAGAACCTGAATGATTAGCGAGCAAACTACTTCTTTTTATAATGTAGCCCATCCTAAAATTTGACTACCCAGAATGATCAATAATCATATACCATCATTACTACGACCAAGCAACATATACGCTTATTACATTGATCAATCATCTTATACCAACATTACTGTGATCAATCATCACATACCAATATTACAGAGATCAATCATCACATACCAACATTACTGAGATCAATCATCACATACCAACATTACTGAGATCAATCATCATATACCAACATTACTGAGATCAATCATCACATACCAACATTACTGAGATCAATCATCATATACCAACATGACTGAGATCAATCATCACATACCATCATTACAGAGATCAATCATCATATACCAATATTACAGAGATCAATCATCATACACCAATATTACAGAGATCAATCATCATACACCAACATTACTGAGATCAATCATCATACAACAACATTACTGAGATCAATCATCATATACCAACATTACTGAGATCAATCATCATATACCAACATTACTGTAATCAATCATCATACACCAACATTACTGAGACCAATCATCACATACCATAATTACTGAGATCAATCATCATACACCAATATTACAGAGATCAATCATCATACACCAACATTACTAAGATCAATCATCATATACCAACATAACTGTAATCAATAATTGAATACCAATGTTACTGAGTTCAATCATCCTGTACCAACATTACTGTAATCAATAATTGAATACCAACCTTACTGAGTTCAATCATCCTGTACCAACATAACTGTAATCAATCATCATATACCAACATCACAGAGATCAATCATCATACACCAACATTACTGAGATCAATCATCACATACCATCATTACAGAGATCAATCATCACATACCAACATTACTGAGATCAATCATCATATACCAACATGACTTAGATCAATCATCACATACCATCATTACAGAGATCAATCATCACAAACCAACATTACAGAGATCAATCATCATATACAAACATTACTGAGATCAATCATCATATGCCAACATTACAGAGATCAATCATCATATACCAACATTACAGTGGTTATATTTTAGGCTCCTAGTGATGAGCACCAACAGGGGTGTGAGTGATTGAGTTGGGTTTAATGCCAATCAGATTGGTTGGATTGTTGTTTAACGCTGCAATATTCCAGCTATATGACAGCGGTCTGTAAAGAATCGAGACTGGATCATATAGTCCAGTGATTGAAATCATGAGCATCGATCCATGCAATTGGGATACGATGGCATGCATCAACCTGGTAAGCAAGCCTGACCACCCATCCCGTTAGTCGCCTCTTACCAGAAGCATAGTCGCCTTTTACGGCAAGCATGGGTTGCTGAAGACCTATTCTTCCCCGGATCTTCACAGGTCTAGATTAGGACAGTTTTTCAGTTATATCGCAGCATGTCAGCTAAATGTGGAAGTTAAAAGTGGTACACACAAGCACGGGTATGATGTCAAACCTCAAACATAATCAGGGCCAATCTTGGGTTCAAACAAACAGTCATTGGTTTTGGGAAGGCCAAAGGGAAGCAACTCTGCAGCAGCAGAGCGTATTGTGGCACCCATGCTCTGCAGAATCTGGACCCAAGACCAAATGCTGAATGTTGGTTGTAGTCGACATCACTGACAGTCACCATCAACTGAGCTCGCAGCAGCTACTGCTGCTATTGGCCAGTTTATTACACTAATGATTGAAACTAAAAACATTCTTCCTAATCAGCAAATTTCCCACTCACTTTCCTGACCTTGGCTTTTACATGCCTTGTGCAATCCGTGAAGACTATCTTAGGACAACCAAACAAATCAGTGCCAATGTTAAAAGCTAAAATAAATGTATCTGTTTGCAAACATTCTGTTAACCAATCAATTCCAGCTTGCATCAGTCCACAAGAATCCTGCCACTTACATCATTACCAAATCAGCTCTATCAGACCAAATCCGTGACAACCCAAGCCACAGCATTCAGTGGGATAAAGTCAAAGCCCTCACCACAAACCTCAAAGACTCCAAAATCACAAAACTACAGGAAGCCATCAACATCAAAAGACTCCAACCGTCAAACAACCGTGACCAAGGCTATTACATATCCCCCAGCTTACCATCAACTCATCATTATGTTACTGGCTTCACTCCTTTGTTCATGTTACTGACTTCGCCGGTAATGTCTTAACTCCCCCTTTTGTGAACATAATCGGCTTCTCCAATCCAGCATAACTACATCTGATGTCTACTCTAGTTATAAACATTGCCTCCTACCTGTATATATACCCGTGTGCGAAATACGCATCAGTCGGAAAGCGCACGTTAAATCTCCAAAGTAAGTAAGTAAGTAAGTATGTATATATACTTGTCAACCATACTCTCTATATCACTTGCTTGATAACAGTGGGAGAACCTACACCGAAACGTCGCTCTTAATTGAAATAAAGAAGTTGTTCATCCATAAATCTTATCCTTACTTACCTCAGCGCCAGCAGTAGTTCTTCAAGCTCTTCTTTCTTGGCGATCTTGACCTCCTGTAAGGTGAGACAATACAACTGATATAACATTTGTTTGTATCAAAGTTCTGCATGAGTGAGTATGGCTTTACACCGCTTTTCGCAATATTCCAGCAATATCACAGCGGGGGAAATGGGCTTCACACATTGTACCCATGTCGGGATTGGAACTCGGGCCTTCGGCGTGACGAGCAAATGCTTTAACCACTTGGCTACCTGACCGCCCCAAGTTCTGCATGACAACACATACATCGTTACATCTCAATGTACATGAAGCTAGCAGTGGTACTGTTGCATTGTGGTTATCATCAGTGTGCAACGTGTTCAGCAAACAACTCCTGAGAGTTTCGATCCTGTCACACACAGCAACACATGCTATATGTCTCCTTAGGCATGTAACTTTTTCAAAATTTGCCTCTGTTCACCCAGCAGTGAATGGATACCTGGTAGGATGATTGAGTGAGTTGGGTTTAACACCACTTTGGACAATATTTTAGTTATATCACAGCGTGTCAGCTTGATGTGGGAGAAAAGCCTGAAGTGATTCAGGTCCTAGAATTTTACCACTTCGGTGAAGCCCACATACACAGATATGGTGCTGACAAACCTATAAACATAATCTGGGAGAATCGGGCCTCAAACAGATGATCATAGGTGTCTGGCCTGCCCAAGGGATGCAACTCTGCAAGTGAATCGCGGTCATTTCAATGCCTGTGCCACCCTTGTCCCTCATCCTTATCTCTCATGATGAGATAATCTTGAATTCTTCAAAGATAACAAGTAATTTTCGGACATATCGTATTCGACGTATTAAGCACCCAGGGCGCTTTCAAAATTAGAAATTGGGGGCTCTTATTAGAATATAGTTCGGTGAAAGAGTTAAAAGATCGTAAATTTTGTGGTTTATGCTTACAGCCTGAAATGATACAAAAGAAAAATCTGTGCGTATTATACATGACAGATATATTTTCCAGAATTTAATTGCCCGTAATTAAGGGTGCATAGAACACACGAGTGTGTATTATACATGAATAATTGTGTACATTGATCAGTCGGAAGGGTGCTATTTGGGATTGTTCACTAGCCAATATATTAGCTTATTAGAGCGGGTGCTTATTACGTCGAATACGATAAGCCTTTTTTTTATATTTGTAACTAGCCCAGAATATTGCAGTGCTCATCCACTGAAACACCATGCCACAGTTTAACATGGATACCTCACTCAGACCGTTTACTGGCCCTGAGCCAACAAGTCTTGATGCCAAGCACAAGGCAGGGTAACAAAAAGTACCATCCTTAAACATCATTCAGAATGACGCAGCCAGAGATCGAACCACCGACCTACTTCCCGGGCAGACATTCTGTATACTATACCATGGAGAAAGATCTGTACATATGCAAACTCTCCTGACCAGACATGTCGATCTGGAGCTACAGTCAAGCATGCAGAATATTACCTCATCCGTGCTGAGGGTCTGCCCAGCCTTCATCTTAATTTCCAGAGCTTCAATCTGGCGAATTTTCTTCATTAACTGTTTCTTTTTCTTAGCACCTTCGATTCCGTGCTGCAAGTGAAAACAGTACACATCACACACATCTGTCAGGATTAAACATTTCAATGTCTGTGAGTCTATTTAAGGCACAGTGGTGCCATCTGTTCATGGCAAAACATACTGTATGGTTACTGTCAAGATTTAGTAGGTAGGAGGCAGAAAAGTTGACAACGTTTGAAAATAGATTGGAATTTTATAAACTAATCTTAGAGAGCCTATTGCTGGAATATTGAAAACTGATGAGCTTTGATGAACTCTCGAACATTTCTGGCATGGCTAAGAGAAGAACCTTTGCACAAAAGATTACAGCACCTTAGACAACTGGGCCATCAAAGCCACCTTGTACTAAAGAGAAGGTTTTGTGCCAAAGATTGTTGACATATGTGCCATGACAGCTATCAATGCCATGACAACTATCAGTGTGATGATAAAGGTTGTTGACACTAGTGCCATGACAACTATCAGTGTGATGATAAAGGTTGTTGACACTAGTGCCATGACAACCATCAGTGTGATGATAAAGACTGTTGACACTAGTGTCATGACAACTATCAATGTGATGATAAAGACTGTTGACACTAGTGCCATGACAACTATCAATGTGATGATAAAGACTGTTGACACTAGTGCCATGACAACCATCAATGTGATGATAAAGGTTGTTGACACTAGTGCCATGACAACTATCAATGTGATGATAAAGACTGTTGACACTAGTGCCATGACAACTATCAATGTGATGATAAAGGTTGTTGACACTAGTGCCATGACAACCATCAGTGGATGATAAAGACTGTTGACACTAGTGTCATAACAACTATCAATGTGATGATAAAGACTGTTGACACTAGTGCCATGACAACTATCAATGTGATGATAAAGGTTGTTGACATTAGTGCCATGACAACCATCAGTGGATGATAAAGACTGTTGACACTAGTGCCATGACAACTATCAATGTGATGATAAAGACTGTTGACACTAGTGCCATGACAACTATCAATGTGATGATAAAGACTGTTGACACTAGTGCCATGACAACTATCAATGTGATGATAAAGACTGTTGACACTAGTGCCATGACAACTATCAATGTGATGATAAAGACTGTTGACACTAGTGCCATGACAACTATCAATGTGATGATAAAGACTGTTGACACTAGTGCCATGACAACTATCAGTGTGATGATAAAGACTGTTGACACTAGTGCCATGACAACTATCAGTGTGATGATAAAGACTGTTGACACTAGTGCCATGACAACTATCAGTGTGATGATAAAGACTGTTGACACTAGTGCCATGACAACTATCAGTGTGATGATAAAGACTGTTGACACTAGTGCCACGACAACTATCAGTGTGATGATAAAGACTGTTGACACTAGTGCCATGACAACTATCAGTGTGATGATAAAGGTCACTTACAGTACCAGCCTGTGTTTCAGTTCCAAACGTGGAGCTGCCACCGGCTGAGTCTACAAACATATTCAAACATTTGACTTAACAAATACAACCAGTCCTTGGCAGAAACCTGTTAACTAACATGCTTGAAAGAATTTTAAAAACTTCAAAGTGACTGCCTCCATTATTCCTCCACAAACAAAATGTTTTACGTATGTTCCACTGAGAATGCCAAAACGGCAGCAGTTTATGATCCAGTGAAGCAGGTACAGATTATTCTAGTAGCAACAGAAAATGGTTTCTTTATTTAACTAACAGTCCAACTGTCAAGTAAAAGGTAAGACCACACACCAAACCAGTCCTTGGTAGGCATCTTCCCATTGCCATTGTGCGCAGTAACTTTCGGCACAACAAAGGCGGGATTCACACCTGCTGAAAGCATTGAACGTGAGAGAAATGTTTACAAGGAAAAGAAAATTACTGAAAAAAGAAAACCGCGGGATAGCAATTGACACCTTATGTAAACTCATCAGTTTATCAACATATGTGCTATTATGAGGAAGTTACAAATAACAATATTGAAGATAACATACTTTTTAGGGTAAAAATATCATTTATACTTATCCTGACTTACACTAATTGCTAATCTCATCTCATTCCGAAAAGCTAGTGGAAACGAGTTTACCAGCTTTGACAAGTGCTTCCAGTGCAGCTGCGTGGCTGTGGAGTGAGTTCGGGGCGGGGGGTTCTGTTCTTGGGAGCACTGCACAGCAGTTTCCACTGCCTTTTCCGAATGAGATGAGATTAACAACTAGTATGAGTCAGGATAAGGTAAAATTATTGTTATTCTTATCATTTTCATCACCACTATTGAGAAGATGTCAACTCAAGTGTTGACCCTTTTGTTAACTCACTATGATTATCACTGGCATCATAATTATCATTATCATTGGTAATTCTTAAGGTCATTGAAACTATATGATTGAAGACTATGACACCACCTCTGGGTGATCCTCTGCCATGACCAGTGCCAAACGATGCTCCGTTACTCTTGCTTCCAAGGTTCAAGGCTGACCAGTCACAAAGCTGACCAGAGTTACTGGCCTTTGCTGAACTCCCCCTCGTCTTGCCATCACGGCCACCAGTCAGCGGAGAGTCGCCGCCACCCAAACCAGCATAGCAGGCTGCAGGAGACGGGGCGCCGACACTCCTCCCCCGCCCCACAGGCTTGACCCGGGTCTGGTCAGGGAACACCCCAACCGGAGCTTGAATGTTGATTGATGGTTGTGGAGCTGGCTGACAGGGTGGGATATCTTCGTAGGGATGTTCTGGCCGCTGGGCTGTCGCTGGGACGACTTGGGCAACAGGTTTGTGAGTGCGAGGAGATGGCTGAGCAGATGGTCTGACTGGCTGTGGGGCCACGTTGACAACACCCCTACCTCTTCCCATGGACAAGCCTGTGGTGCCTGGACGAGGGGCATTGCCACCTTTAGCTCCTGAGTGGAAAAAAAGGAATAATCATGCACTGACCATTCTGATAATTTGCAACAAAAGGGAGTCATTTGGGTTTAATGTCTTGAACAGTTATCAGGAAAAGTCATGGCAGCTTAATCATGGGGGAAAAGCCCCATGCCTATGACTTGCATTACTTTGGTGAAACCCACCAACATGAGAACGGAAAAGCCAAGGACAGAATTCAGGGAGAATACTTATTTCAAATTCAAACTCGCACACAACAGGGGCAGCATATTTACACATTCTCAGAATTAAATGTTGCCCCTTAAGTGTAAAAAAAGGTAAGAATTTTCACTCTGTCCTCAGCTAAAAGTTGCTTTTTATAATAACGACATTCCTAACTGCAAATTGGGTGAGGTGAGGTGAAATTGGGTTTAACATTGCGGCCAAGATTATTCCACTTATATAGTGACGAGCATGCACAGTATAACATGAATACCCAGAATACCAGACCTATTTTAGCCCCTTAATGCCGAGCGACAGACAGGGTAACAACATAACTGCAAATTAAGAACATTCAAAGAACATTCTGAGACGCTATTCGCTGCTGGCCCAGATCCTAACACGGCTAAGGGGTGGGGCAACTCAAACTATATCGCCATCCATCCCACCCTACAGGATATGACCCCTGATAAAGTTCAATCATCCTAACCATGCTAAAACCCATAAGCCACAAGAACAATCACAACCAGTGATGTTACTCCCTTCTCCAACAGAATCTTCTAGATATAATGGCAACATGCAACATGTCAGTAGCAAGTTTGGAAATGTTCAATAATATGGGACTACACTCACCATCACCACGCACAATGCCTCGACTTACAATTAATATCCAAGGCTTAAAAATAAAAGATTTGGTTCTTAGGCAATGGCTTGAGTGAGTGAGTGAGTGAGTGAGTGAGTGAGTGAGTGAGTGAGTGAGTGAGTGAGTGAGTGAGTGAGTGAGTGAGTGAGTGAGTGAGTGAGTGAGTGAGTGACAATGTACCCATGTCAGGAATCGAACCAGGGTCTCCAGCGGGACGACCAAACGCTTTAACCACTAGACTACCCGACCACTCCCAAAGGCTTTTGAAAATATAGTGCAGCCAGGCAGTGGTTATGGGGGCGGTTTTTTTGGTTGTTCAAACTAGTATGTGACCAAATAAACAGTTGTGTACAATAAAACTGGGACAGGGCATCCCTACATAAATGTATTCCTTGATGAGTAAAATATTGGAATACAGTTTTTGACTACCATTGCACTTGAAATATTTACAGATTTTTTTTCAAAATTTAAAAAAATGGAAATAAAACGAAACGCGCGGCAAACTTTAGGATGATGCAGGTTGTGCCTGAGAACCAAGACTATCGGGTTTTTTAACCCAATATAAGATTGCTATGCAATAAATCGCAATGAACAATGAAGAATAAAGCATGGTTCATTTCAAGATAAAACATTTCTGGAGATTCGAACATGCGCTCGCAACTTGATGACGTCATAAACTGGACAACGTTATTTTTGAGACGGAAGTGTCAAGTGAGTTGCTCCCATAGAGTGAGTGAGTGAGTATGGTTTTACGCTGCAATATCACCGCGGGGGACACCCCCACCCCCCCCCCCCCCCCCCCCCACCCCCCCACCCCCCCCCCACCCCCCACCCCCCCCCCACCCCCCCCCCACCCCCCAAAGGACTCCAAACATTGTACCCTGTGAGGAATCGAACCAGGGTTTTAAGCACTAAGCTACCCCACCGCCCTGTTCCCCATAGATTTAGCTGGGCATTATAGATAAACGATCCAATAGTGGGAGAGATATGACAATCGGTATTGCAAGAATAGGTACAGATAATCGATGTGAATATTGTGAGAAATTTAACCCCTCTGTTCATAAAAAGGTTTTGTCCAACATTGCCGTGGTTGAATTCTATTTAGAGAATTATCATCACATAAAATTATGATAAATACAGGTAAATATTTTGAAAGCTTGTACTTATTATTAACATCCTCAAAGAGGCTGTACATAATATTGATATCACATTTAAGAAATATTGGTCATTGTTTACTGCAGCTGGATAAAACACTCAGGACTGGCCCCCTTAGGGTCTATTCTCCCTGCTGTGTGTTATTGTATGATAAACAACTCCCGCTTGTCATTTATTTCTTAATTAAAGGCATATTAACCCTCAAATTATCACAATTTACAATTTCTCTATTAGAAGTTAGAAACTGCATGGCATACTTACCCATGCCCCGCCCTAGTCCGCACTGAGCCAGGGAGTAGGCAAAGACTGCAGAGGGCATCTGCTGTGTGGGTGCTGGGGGTGCCGACTGGTACATGCTGAATGCTTGAGGCTTGTTGTTGGGGAGGCGGAGCTTGCCATCGGGGTTGGGCGTCTGGTTCTCCTTGTTCTGCTGGGCGGGAACTTCTGGCCTGTCAACAGCAATATTCCAACATCACCACAGGCAGCAATATTCCAACAATATCACTACAGGCAGCAATATTCCAACATCACCACAGTCAGCAATATTCCAACATCACCACAGTCAGCAATATTCCAAAACTACAGTCAGCAATATTCCAACAACATCACTACAGTCAGCAATATTCCAACATCACCAGAGTCAGCAATATTCCAACAACATCACCAGAGTCAGCAATATTCCAACAACATTACCAGAGTCAGCAATATTCCAAAACTACAGTCAGCAATATTCCAACAACATCACTACAGTCAGCAATATTCAAAAATTACCACTACACATCATCACTGTTTTGGTTTAAAGACTTGACCAACCAAAGCCAAAAGCTACTACATGTCATACATCATATTTCATATTAAGCAAAGTCGGAGATAAATGTCCTTTTGTCAAAGGACGAAAATGCAACCATGGAAACATGAACATAATGCAAACAATCATTTTAAAATAAACCTGGAAATCCAGAGGTTGAATAGGATGTTTTCAATCTCAAGGGTTGAGCAAACTTCCAGTGAGTGAGCGAGTGAGTGAGTTAGTGAGTTGGGTTTAACAGTATTCCAGTTATATCGCGGCTAGTCAGCTTAATGTCAATCTCATTACAATGAGATCTAAGTTCTCGCTGGCACTAAACAAAGATCTGAAGACATCCCATTACGGGTCGGAACGACCTTTTACGAACTTTGACCGACCACTGAAATGAATAACAAGAAGTTGACATCAGCCAATTAGAAAGCAGCTTTCTTGAGCTTTCCGGCATTCGTTTCAACCTGGCAACTTCCATTTCAGACTATGCTTGAAAAATATGCGGACACAGTTCTCGATTAAAATTTTGAAAACTGAACAAACGAACATTCCAGAATGTTTAATATACAGTTGAGATTGTCAGCTAAGTGTGGGAGGAAAGCCCGAAGTGAGGAAAGCCTGAGACGTCAGTGAAACCCATGAGCACGGATATGGTGCTGACAAACCTAGAAACATAATCTGGACGAACTGGGATTCGAACCCACAATCATAGGTTTCTGGTGTGCCCAAGGGATGCAACTCTGCGCAACGAACAGCAGCACCTTGAACGATAGGGCCAGCCGTGCCCCTAGCAAACTTCCAGATTACAGCCACCTGTCACATAGCTCACGTTGATAAGATATTCACTGAGTATGCACTTAATAAAGACCAGCGGACATCCCTTTTATGGTGGAGTTGAAAACTGAGAAGTGCAGAGTACTCACTCTATATGTTCTGGATTCAGGTATTTGTGAAAGGACCGCTTCTCAGCCGGAGTCATTCTGAATAACAAACATAAATTGTTAACTAAATTTTATATTTATATACAATATGCATTTCTTCCCCGCATCACAGTTACACTAGCCTGTCAGCACAAAGAAAGGGAAGGATGTGGAAGGGAAGTCAAGTGATCATGTTGTGCATGCACAGAACCCTTTGTTTGGGTGGTGACCATGATGATCCTGGGATGTGTTCGGGTGAATTGCTTTTAGAAGCTGGGAACTTTGTTCAAGCATGTTTCCACAGACAGATCGAAAGGAGGAAAATATGCATAGTGTTAGATTGGATAAGCTGAAATATTTACACTATGTTACTCAAAGGGTCATAAGGACTAAGTGTAATAACTTTCCAATATTTATATACATGCCCTTTAGCTATTCTAAGGGCTGATAGGTTAGTTGAGGTGATATGACATCAGACTTGGATAACATTAAGTCATCTGAACAATAGGCTGAATTCAGTGAACATTCTCTGATGGGTTGACATTGTCAATTAAGAAAGAAAATGAATCGTGACATGATTCAATAGCTAGGCAATGGGAAAAAAAGCAGACCAACTGTACTCTATTTGATAAGTTTGCCACATGTTATAATAAAACTGTCCAACAATGAAATATTTGCTCAACAATGTTCCTATTTGTATAAAATGCTATTTGTATTCATAATTGGGACTCCAAAGAAACACCCATGCCATTACGAGCCATCCATTACCCTGTGATGTTCTTGAACTTGACTTTATCCAGGAATTCTGGGTTGACACCTATTCTTGGATGGGGATTCACCTCTGCAAGATAAATGGGTATAGTCTGCTTGATAGATCTTCTAAAATTCATTGTCATTGCAGATCAAACTTATTTCCTGTTTGCCAGACATCCAGCCAAGGCGTGGGAGAAGAGGGGGTGGATCAAACCTTGACCCCCTTTGAAGGAGGTAAGTTGGGGTAGAACCCACAAAGTTGACCACACAGCAAGTAGAGTGCAGCTTTCAGTGTTCCTGTTTACCAATAATTGCCTATTTTTTACCGGTAAAATTAGGCTTGGATCGGTAATTCACATGACTGTCAGTCCCTTTGTACGGGCAAATAAAGTACCTTATAAATCTTCTTTGTTGAACAAAACATTAGCAATATTCAATAAAGTATTCTTTTCAAACAAAGTCTTTTTTCGCCAGGGTTTCCCGAAACAACAAACTTAAGTCTGTGGTTGCAAATGTCTTGCTCTATCCCAGGCACATACCCTCATCCCAGCTTTCTGTGCAAGTTATTTCGTACTGATTGTACGCTGGGACATCAGTGCAGCCTTTGAAAGTGCCCACTTCATCACTTTGCAACTCATGGTCTGAAAAAACAAATCATGCTGTTTGAAAAAACAAATCCAGTGCTCTCTAATGATGCTACTCTCAATCAGTTACCATGGTTACTCTGAACTGATGCAATGATTGATGGTAACAGTAACTGTCAATAATCAATCAGATATTACCATCAATTCTGGAGAAAAATCAGTTTTAATATCAAATTTCTATTTATAATGTTCAATCAATCCTTTCATCAGTAATAACCACACACCATCACATTCATCCTTAATATGCAACTAATCACATATTTTCATTAATGAAATACAGACCTACATATAAGCAGCATATTTGCGTAAAATACCCCCCCAAAATGCTCAAAACCCAATTACTTTTAACATGTTTAAATAACCTGCGTACAGAAATGCATGCATTAAAAACTCAAATGTATAAAAACATCTCTCGTAAACATGGTAAATACACAATGAAGCTTTTTCAGCATGCATACAACATGTACAAAGGAGTTAATTTCCGAAAACACAATTACGAGCTAAATTACTTTCCAAGTCAGGCCTATATATATATTAAGAACAGTTATACACATCTAAAACATTATTTCATTTTTTGAAAATCTTAAAATGTTCATTAATTAGAGTGATGAATAGATGAGTGAAAAAATATTGGTTACCAACGAAAAATGTAATGACCCAATTAAAATAGAAACCTTCGAGTAAAAACTCAAATGCTCAAAATGTTTTCTGGAGCTCTGGAAATAAGATTCTGATCATTTTGATTTACAACTGATTATAAACAGTAATTAGTTAAAACAATCCAATAATGACCAATCATCCATCATAAAATCTCCACACCATCCAAGAGGACACACAGAACACACCAAATAGACAGAAATAAGAGTGAGTGAGTTAGGTTCAACGCTGCTTTTAACAGTATTCCAGTCATATCGCAGCGTGTCAGCTTAATGTGGGAGGAAAGCCCGAAGGGATGCTGGTCTCAGACGTTTACCACTTTGGCGAAACCAACACACACGGGTATGGTGTTGACAAACCTAGAAACAAAATCGGGGCGAACCGGGATTCGAACCCACAATCATAGGTTTCTGGCATGCCCAAGGGACGCAACCCTGCACAGCGAATCGCGGCGCCTTAGACGACTGGGCCATCCATGACCCTACAGAAATTAGAATGATCAAGAAAAGGTTCTTGTTTACAGAATACAGTACCTGACAAGTTAGACAAACATACCATGTGCAATCTCCCTCTCAAGGACAGCTTTGTTTGGACATGTTGCGATGTGGAACCTCAGCTCTGGTCGAGGCATCTCATGGGTGGCATTAAATGGACAGGTCGCAAAATCCTTTGCTGTATGATTCTGAATTGTATCCAACATGAGTGAGTGAGTTGGGCTTAACCCCACTCAGAACAATATTCCAGTCATATCATATGGCATCTGAGCATAACCAGGGAGGAAGGCCCGAAGTGATGCAGGGCCCAGGGCTCCGTTCCATGAAGTGATCTTAGCGCTAAGGTGATCGTAACTCCCATATTTTAACATAGGCTTACAATCATCGTAGCTCTAAGATCGCTTTGAGGAACATGGTCCTGGCCTTTACCACTTCAGAGAAACTCACTAGCACGGTATGGTGCTGATAAACGTGGAGACACCAGTATTTACGCTACACAAAAGTGTACGTCCACTATGCACACATGTAGAGAATGGACGATGAAAATGAAAACTCTGCATCCTGCGTGACTCACAATAATATTTACTGTACCTACAACGAATCATGAGCAGTTATCCGAACTGATATTTCATCCATCAATCATGACCACTGTCCACATGATCAGTGATTCATTACAGACGCTCAAGTAATAATCCAAAAGTACAGTCCACAACACCATTTCATTACTTTACAGGACCTTCATATTGCCTGCAAAGTCCCTCAAAATTGATTATTGAAGGTCCCCAGGAAACCCACTTTTGTACGTCAAGGTGAAAGCTTGATACATAATCAAACATAGCAGGTAACAATGTTCAGATGATCCATTTGGTCATCTTACAACAAGCATAGGTTGCTGAGGACCAATTCTAACCAAGATCTGCACGGGGTCATCTTACAACAAGCATAGGTTGCTGAGGACCAATTCTAACCAAGATCTGCACGGGGTCATCTTACAACAAGCATAGGTTGCTGGGGTCCAATTCTAACCAGGATCTGCACTTATACCTAGTGATTGCTTCTCATCCATACCTTTCTGCATTTCATGAGATGGTACTGCATACGTTTGCGACGGACCATGTGCGCCTTGTCATATGGACACGGCTCCAGCTCCTCGGGGTCTATAGACAAGTCGTAGTCGAACATTGTTACCCTGGAAAACATTGATGAAACATGCATCACAAGCAGATCCACTTGAGACAACAACAATCAGTGATGTGAGGCTCAGGGTTTTAGATCGTTAAGGCAAAGGAGCAAAGTACACACAACCAAGGAAATCAAAGTCCAAACAACTTTCCTTCTACTTCGGCCACTCATTCCTGCCAGTCCTTGGTTCCTGGGATGATGATCAATCTATGCAACTGGGATACAATGACATGCATCAACCAAGTCCATGAGCTTGACCCTCTGATCCCTAGTCGCCTCTTATGACAAGCTTCGTCACCTTTCAGGGCAAGCATGGGTTGGTGAAGACCTAATCTACCCCGGATCTTCTCAGGTGAACACAACTGGTGCTCAGACGGATTTCTGTTATATGATTTTTTTATTTATATATTGTGTATCAAGATGATATGTTGAAGAGTCTGATAGTACTTCTTATCAACTGGGTAACATTTGGTCATCCAACTTCCAAAGTACAGAGAGAACCCTTCTGGTCAGCAATACCCGTTCAGACTCCCCACACCACTGTCACACAACTAGAGAACTAGCTAAAGACAATTGATTGACGTCCTGCTTGACATCATGAAAAATTAGTTTTTTTGTGCCACAATACCAACTATATAATATCCATTCCCTCTATTTATAGACTCAGTCAGCACTACCAATCCCTCTTTACAATATGTTCAATGATGCCTAGTTTGACACAAGTGGGTAAAACTTTTGACCCCAGAGGTGATAACTCACCGGATGCCTATTGTGTAATTCTATTTTTTAATGACATTGTTATATACTTGTTACAACTGCTGCTCAATAAACAATGTTTGTGTTTATATTCAAGTGGGTATTTCCACTATCCAAAGTGTGCAGTGAGGACGTCTTATTGTTGATAGCCATTTTCGAGACATAAACGCAAAGTTTGATTAATACCAGCAAGACCACTCAATTTTTCACAATTAATTGACGCTTTTGTTTATTTCAAGATTTACAATAGTTGAGCTTAACATCAGAAAGGTTGTGAGTTCGCGTCCGACGGTTTCTCACAAAACCTGGTTGTTTGTCTTTGAGACATGTGACCTACGGTAGTGATCATCCTCAGGAGAAGTTCTGGTTCTGTATTCTAAAGGTGTTCAAGTTCCGATCATAAACTCTCAGACCTCACAAGAGCTGAGTTTTAGACCATTCTTTTCATGCTTGTTTCAATATCAACTAGGGCTGGGACGAGTCAAAATTTACTACCTAGGTACTGACCCCCCTATTACCCGACCCTACCCCGGTACCCACTGTAGGTCTCAAAAGTTGGGAACATAATGTCTGATTGGAAATTGTTTTACTGCAGCCTTGGCAAATACTACATGTATCAAACGATGCAAGTCAAAAGGAAATGTGACCATCAGCCACATGAAGCGTAACCCTGAGCTATAGTGAGTTTTTGCCATTAAAGAATATATCACATGACTAACCATGGTTCCCGGAAGTATTGTGGGTACAGACTCAGGACCGACCCGACCCTAGTACCTGAATTACCCCTCCAAGCCCTAATGTTAACATTGTTCTACCTGTAAAATGCATCTTGACAGAATTGGGAAAAGGCAGGCACATCTATACAGAAACTGACGAAGACAGGGACCCAAATACTGCACTGCAGTTAGCCTATATTCAGGGCCTAGTTTACCTGCCATGACAGTTCTGACGAGTCTCACCCCACTGTGACCCACCAATGGCAGCTGAGGAAAATATTACAGTGAATGCTTGCCTGACAGAAAACTAAAATGTAATAACATGAACGGTTGGTTCACTTGGGTGGCAAGTAATTTCCGCACAGGCCTAATTATGATACTGAATTTAGCTGCCACAAGACAGTGACAAAGTTCGACATGATCACCATCATTGCCATATGTGTTGGAAAATCATAAAAGTCTTGAGCATATTATTTTATAGGCAGGTGGCCTGTACAAAGTACTCAATAAATATTACCTACCAATTTCCAGCTATTTCAGAAAGAACTTTATGGTCACAGATTAATCATCTCACTGAAGTTTTGAAAGCGCAACGTCTCAACGACTGTGAAAGGGGAATCCCCTACTAAAGTTCCAGAACAACAACCAAGGGATAAACGTACCTGATAACTGTTTTCACCACCTCTTTGTCAGACTGTGTGCGGAAAAGGTTAGCAATGAAACACCGCAGTATTCCAATTTCTATTCAGTCTCCAGATTATTCGTCACACAGTCTGTAGTCTGTACCAGAGTATCACTATAAATGGTGATGTCAATGGTGTCACGCCTGGCCGTTGTGTCACTTCCGCAGTTACTCGTCACGTGGTACGAGCTCCTTGTAGCGACCGGTAGGACTCGGTTGCTGAGAGGTTTCCTTGATGAAAATCTCCATCCAAACATTTAAGTTGACAGATGGTTCCCGGTAATCTTAATATATTGAAACAAAATACAAAAAGTTTGATTAAACTAGATAAACTAGAAGCACCGTCCAGCACACTTCAACTCGGGCCATGACAAATTACGGGTATATTATAAGTTTTGGTGTCTTTAGTTGCCGTAAACGGTGTCATATTAGGTTAGCAGACAAAAATATTAGGCGAGGCGTTAGCCGAGCCCAATATTTTTCGGCTCATCTTATATGACCATATCGAATTTATTATGCCGAAAAGTTTACACTATTTGGTATCTTTGACGCACATATCATGTCATAGACCATATTAACTCAAAACTTAACACTTACAACCTAAGACGTTAAGGGTCAAAGGGAGACTACTCTTCAAACCTCAGAGGCCAAACCTTGTTGATAATTTTAACTTTATATAATCTTATTAAAGTCACGAACGTGAACCAAAGAACATGAACGTCCTTGCACATAAAAAATAATGATATTAAATCACAAAACAGTGTCGAATAACGAATTTCTGTGCCAGAATTGTCATGTGAAATATGTGAGGTGGGTGTTGGAAAATCCAGGATGGATTTTACTGACGGTATACGGTCTCATATTTGACTATTAGTGCCTACTTTTGTCCTTTATTTCAACTTTGTATTTTTTAAACGAGTGGCCGCCCATACAAGCAGCTAAAAACGACAAAGTGTTTAGTGTTTAACTACCCAGATCCAAACACGTAGTACCTATATCAACAATCCAAATACCTCTAGTGCAGTGGACGTCCGGAAGATCTTACTCTTGACCGTATCAGACAACTGACGAGTGCACGCCTAACCTGTGACCTCGTTACACCCCCCATGAGGTGTTTGCCGAAGGGAGATGGGTAGGAAATGTGTGCTCCAGCCCAGCGCAGAGTTAGCGACACACGGTATACTGCATGTTGCATACAGTATATTGCAGTTGATATACTGTATACTGCATGTAATACTTATTTGCGGAAAAGTTACAATTTTCAAAATTCAAGATTCAATTTGCATTTATTTCTTATACAACAGACCGCCGTCATATATCACTGGAATACTGCTGAGAGCGGCGTTAACTAACGTTGGATATATGGAAATAAGGTATACTTTCAAGCGCGGATAGAGCGCAGAATTTAGAAATGGAGGCTTTACTATATTACACGTAAGGATTACAACCAGGACTCTCGCGCAAAAATACTATATACGTACAGCTGTGTAGTATGTACTTAGATTTATTTTCGGTTATGTATATTTTAAATTTGTATCAAACGATTACAAATGTGGCTTTAAATAACCGCCTTTTAACTTCCGACACTTCGCGTCACACAGAGCATGTAAAGCGAGAGCAAGAGTTCAGTTAAAGACAAAGGTATGACAAAGTAGGTCACTAAGATATATAATCAAGCCAATCAGCAATACCTGTCCACCCTATTTTGAAATGGACAGACCCCATGAACTTACTTATAACAAATCGCTTTTGTATGTGAATTCAAGCACTTATTATTGTCTACCTGAATACCACAGGCCGCGTAAAATATATAGACAATGTTATCAATGTGCGTGCGTGCGTGCGTGCGTGCGTGCGTGCGTGTACCCGGTAATGCCATTGCTACCGCAGGCTAAACAATTTCCACTCACTCACTTTTCAACCCTTGAAAGACAACACTGCCACCTTGGTCCAAATGATTTTTACAGGCTAATCAAATTTAAGGGGAGACAACTTCTGCCACACTCATTCATGAACACATTTTCATTCTAAAAGCTGTAGCTGGTGGGGGAAGGTATGAATGAATATACATAACATTTATATTCTTGATTCAGAGGCAGCACCGCACACGAAGTTTAAATAATTGTTCACACATTCGAACGCCAAGCACGGCACATATTGTGTGGACCCCTCGTTGGGCTATCTGGTGATGTGAATACTTTATTAAACATGAAACTACAACTGCTAATGGTTCGGCTACTAATGAGGACGCTACTACTGCTAATGATGTCACTACTAATAATAATGACGTCACTACTACTGCTTATGGCGCCGCTACTGATGACGTCACTACTACTGCTAATGGCGCCGCTACTAATGACATCACCACTACTGCTAATGGCGCCGCTACTAATGATGTCACTACTACTGCTAATGGTGCCGCTACTACTGCTAATGGCGCCGCTACTAATGATGTCACTACTACTGCTAATGGTTCCGCTACTAATGATGTCACTACTACTGCTAATGGCGCCGCTACTAATGATGTCACTACTACTGCTAATGGTGCCGCTACTACTGCTAATGGCGCCGCTACTAATGATGTCACTACTACTGCTAATGGTTCCGCTACTAATAACGTCACTACTACTGCTAATGGTGCCGCTACTAATGACGTCACTACTACTGCAAATGGTTCCGCTACTAATGACGTCACTACTGCTGCTAATGCTGCCGCTACCTACTAATGACGTCACTACTGCTGCAATTGGTTCCGCTACTAATGACGACACTACTGCTGCTAATGGTCTCGCTACTAATGACGTCACTACTCCTGCTAATGGTTCCGCTGCAAATGACGTCACTACTACTGCTAGTGGCGCCGCTACTAATGATGACACTACTCCTGCTAATGGTTCCTCTACTAATGACGTCACTACTACTGCTATTGGCGCCGCTACTAATGATGACACTACTCCTGCTAATGGTTCCGCTGCTAATGACGTCACTACTGCTGCTAATGGTTCCGCTACTAATGACGTCACTACTGCTGCTAATGGTTCCGCTACTAATGACGTCACTACTACTGCTAATGGCGCCGCTACTAATGTTGACACTACTCCTGCTCATGGTTCCGCTGCTAATGACGTCACTACTACTGCTCATGGCACCGCTACTAATGACGTCACTACTTTTGCTATTGCGCCGCTACTAATGACGTCACTACTACTGCTAATGGCGCCGCTACTAATGTTGTCACTACTCCTTCTCATGGTTCCTCTACTAATGACGTCACTACTACTGCTAATGGCGCCGCTACTAATGACGTCACTACTACTGCTAATGGCGCCGCTACTAATGTTGACACTACTTCTGTCAATGGCGCCGCTACTAATGTCACTACTACTGCTAATTATGCAGCTACTAATGATGTCACTACTACTGCTAATTATGCAGCTACTAATGATGACACTACTACTGCTAATTATGCAGCTACTAATGATGACACTACTACTGCTAATTATGCAGCTACTAATGATGACACTACTACTGCTAATTATGCAGCTACTAATGAAGACACTACTACTGCTAATTATGCAGCTACTTATGATGTCACTACTACTGCTAATTATGCAGCTACTGTGGTGATAAAGATGATGATGGTGACGACGGCGACGTTGATAATGATACTACTTCTCTGCTAATTTTATTTATGACTGAAAAATGAATGGGCGTGTGTGCTGTACCTTTTACTACGTTTATGAAGTATTTAATATCAATATCTGGCAGAACAATTTAGATTTGATTGTCCCCCCCACCCCACCCCACCCCACCCCACATTTTGCACAAGAATACGCAATTCATGCTGTATTCGCTTTTTGGCCCCTTTTTTCATTTGATTTATTACTTTCATTTTATGTAACTGTTTTCAGAAAATCTGTGAAATTGTGGTTGTTTTATTAATTTATTTATTTAAAACATTAAAAGTACAGGACCTTCCCATGATCAATATCATGGCAAACACAAAACAGTTTGCGTTTTGTTTTGTCATGGTAGAATGGAAATATATATATATATATATATAATTATGTTTTCAATTCAGCCGTTAGTAACCTCTACATATAACCTAGCTCTAAATGAACATACAACCTGTTAAAACCCTACATGATAATGCATCTGATAATATATTGCTATTAGCTCGTTAATACGGCAATTAAGCAATAATGCTTTTCATCTATAAAAGTTGTATATCATTTATTCATCTATGGATCATATATTTACATAAATACATCAATAACATTCAGAAAGAACTCCGTCCAATAATGAATTCATTTCAGGCCCTGATGAGTGAACACACTCATTTGCAAGCAGTGACTTTTATATCTCAAATGCTAGAACTCTGTGTTGTCCCCTGAGAGGTCGAGCCCCCTGACACCCCATGCTGCATGCTGGGATGATTGCCGGGAGGCCGGCTCTAATGCTTCTTTCGGAGATGCTCATCTAATAATCGTTAGCAAAATAATTTACGGTATAATTCCACACATGATTACACTCCAAGCAGCCCATTTTCTGCGTTCCCGTAATGCTGGGATATGGCTAAAATCGGTGTAAATACTCACTCACGTCGTGCTATCTCATCATCACCATCATCATCGCAACACCCTGCTACTGCAACATCACCAAGATCACAGGGCCACGGATAGCCATACTATACTGACTGTACTGATTACATTAAAAAGTCAGTATAGTATGGCTATCCGTGGCCCTGTGACCAACATCATCACCACGCTACTACAACACTTCCAACGTCATCCCAAAACCACGCTACTGCATCATCACCAACATAATATCATAACAGCAAGATATTCTCAAAAAAATACATGTGGGTCATTAAACATTAAACTCGTTTGCTGCCCTATCGTCCCGTCGCCTGAGTGAGTGAGTTAGGTTTAACGCCACGTTAACTGTACTGCAAATATATCAGGGCGTGTCATCTTGATTTCGGAGGAAAGCCTGAAGTGATGCAGGTCTTAGATGTTAAATTTTGTCATGAGTACAGTGCTGAAACACCAAGAAGACTAACCAAGGCGAATCTGATACTTCAACCCACGATCAATGGTTTCTGGCTTGCCAAGGGCCACAACTCTGCATAGCAAAGTCAGTCGCCTAAGACGACTGGACCCCAGACTAATAAAATCATCCCAGCAACACCACGCCATTTAACTCTCAGCATCGCATTCACATCACATTATCATCATCAAGGCCATATAACTATCCTTTCAGCAACAAAAGTTTTGTTTTATCAACAATGCCATCACGCCGTGATGACAGTAGCATCATCACCTCAGCAGCAGCCGCAGCATATACATCACAATCAAGATAGAACCCCTTATCTTACCTCCATGTCAGAGTGTTGAGATCTTATTGGTCTCTGGTTCACGTGATCTTGATAAAATACCACCCATCCCGCCTGGAAGGGAAATCATTTAATGAGTGGAAGAATAAATCATGTATACCCCGCCACGACGTAAACAGACTGCACGTGGATAGCGGTAGAATAAATCTCTTGCACCTACGAACCAACAGTTTACTTGTCAATGAAAGTCAGGTGACGCAACACACGTTTACCTCAGATGAGTCGAACAGCTGTTTTCTATCAATTTGTTAGGCTATTTATGCTTGACAAATTCGTTGTAGCAGTATTACTGGGGGTATAGATGTAGTTTTATAAGTCCGTCCAGCTCGTGGTATAAAACAAACTAACACGGGACGCATAAAGCCATATATACCCCCAGTGATGTTGATGCAACGTATATTGTCACCTAAGCAACCACTATCATTCCACGGCAATCGGAGTCAGTCGTCAACAGTTTCTAATGTAAGCAAATGGAAACCAACAACGTCCTCATCATTATCGGTCATACGATATTCCCACAGTTCCAGCACCACAGCGTGATGGCGGCTACGCATGCTGTTAGTGCTGGAATGTTTTTCTTATTTAGATTGCCGTCGAAAATCTGAAAAAGATATAATAATCATGATCATGAAAACAAAATTGAATAATCATACAGAAGGGAAATGATGATGTTTTTCAACTCTTCTGCCAAGCCAGGCTGGAATATAGCTCGAATATTGCCAACAGCAGTTAACACTCTCGCTCATATCACCCCCACGACATCAACATCTCGATCAAATCTATCTTTTTCATAACCTACATCTTAAACACCACCTTCATCCTCAACATCATAGCATCGTCATTATTATCATAATTAACCGGGGCACGGGTGGCCCAGTCGTCTAAAGCGCCGCAATTAGCTGAGCAGAGTTGCGTCCCTTGGGCACGCCAGAAACCTATGATTGTGGGTTCAAATCGCGGTTCGCCCCGATTATGTTTCTAGATTTGTCAGCACCATATCCGTGCTCGTGGGTTTCACCGAAGTGGTAAACGTCTGAGACCGGCATCACTTCGGGCTTTCCTGCCACGTTTAGCTGACACGCCGTGATGTAACTGGAATAAGCGGCGTTAAACCCAACTCACTCACTCATAATTAACATCAACGTCAGTGTATTAACATTATTATCATCATCATCATCATCATCATAAGAACTGTCCTGTCCTTTATTGTTGTGTTTCACTGTAACGATATAAATAATTTTAAAGGAATATGTAATAATATTCAATGTGCCTATACATATGGAATATGCAATAGAAATGTTTAAAGTCTTCAGAGATTCGGTATTAAGAGTAAGAACTGGGTACAGGCAGCAACGCAAACAGGAGAAAAGAAAAACTTCTTGACGTAAAAGTTACAACTAACTTGGAGAGGTGATACACATAAGTTCTGACAGCTACGGAATATTTGGTTAGAAATGACCACCCTTGATATGTTTATTACCCTGCACAGCAATAATTAGCCAAGGGTTGGTCAGGATTACAGACTCTGAAAAAAGGGTTTTAAACGTACCAAAATAGACACAGTTTGCCTAAATGTTAAATCGCTTACTCACATATCTACTTCACACGTTAAGAAACGTTTCGTAACAAATTTCTCAGATGCTGGAATTACCGAATGTGTTTTCCGACCACACGAAAATCGCCTCGCCCGTATTTCGTTTCTCACAGAACATATCGACCGCTGCGACAGCCCCAGGTTTATAACATTCCATAAACACATGCATGCCAGGTCGCGCCGTGTCGCGGAACCAGCAATAAACTCTGTCAAAACACAGGGCCCTATAACATAGTTCACACTCCACAACGCGTTCTATAACAGTACAACCAGGTGATCTTGACTTTAAACGCTTGGAATCGTTCAAAAATCAAATCTATTAATAGTTGGAAGGCACCACGAGGGAAGCCCATGGAAGACTCTGCCATTGAGTCACGTGACGTGTAATGCCGCGCGTGCACGAGGATCAGTTTACAGCATTTGGTGGGGGTAAGAAGAGCTCATCTTGTAGAGGAGAGCTGCGTTCAGTATCGCATCCATGTCAGTGTTATTCTCCGCTGCTTTATGAGTCGCCATTGCCAACAAGACAGATACTGCAACTGAGGCGTGTGGGAACGACATAGTGGCGCGCTGACCTAGTTGGGAGAGCGGGAACCAGTGCATAGCCCTGTGAATGCACACTTCTCTGGCGGATATACTGTAGGAAGCTCTCTCTTGGCGTTCCCCGATAACAACTTCACGGCGCTCGATTAAGAGCCAATAGTACGCGGCGGGATTTCGAGTAGTGTGTGCAATTGTCTCAAATACCATAGTGTACGGCGCGTTAGCGGGAAGCCCCCAAGGTTGATATTAGTGGCATCGCTCGGTTACTGAGCTGGCAGTTACAAGGATTCCGTGAAGCCTATGACATCAACTTAGAACGGCGACGTAACCCGTCAGTCTGAGGCACGTTTGCTGTGCGGTGGGCGTTTAGCTGCACCAAAACCTGGATTTATCTACAAGCTGCTAGTGTCTGCTTCCTGCACCATTCATCTTGGTGCAGAGTTGTGAGGACCTTCACGTTTGCCAGTATTCCGTGACGTGTTGTCATCAGTGTGAGTTTCTTCATATTCCACGAACGTTAATGTGCAGCAGTGGCAACTGCTTAAACCATGATTGTAGTTTTCTCCATAGTTTCACTCAAACATATGGTACATAACTTGACACCTGCGAGTTTTTTTGTCTTTTTTTTTTAACTTCCTCATGTTAATGTGTTCCAAATTTAAATTGTAGCAGATATTTGTGTTCATACATGATTGTTACATCGTACATATATGTATATAAAGCGACATGGATGGGTACTTCCTCATTATGCGGATACGTTCATCTCACATACATAGTGTACACACTGCTGTACATAGCGGTAGGATAACCATAACTTCACTTACACATTTTTCCGTCGTCGTTTTCAGCGGACCCTTTGCACGCGGGATACTTGGGATTACGTGCCCATCACCTACCACTGTGTTCAGAACCACACGCTTCTTGGTTGACATCAGCACCCGGATATAACTACCCGTAGCCATGATGACCACGTGTTGCGCCATTTTGGGACTGGTTTTACTTGTGGTAACAAACCTTTGTATAATAATTTCTTTTGCGACGCCATACTGGCTCGAAATTAAGGAAGACGATCTCGTCTACCAACAACCCGCCCACCGAGGGCTATGGGCCTACTGTGACTACAGAGAGTGTATGTGGATCTTCCAGAGGAATTACGACCGTACAAGCGACGCAAGTAAGTCACATGTCCTTTTTATATCTTGTTGAACAGCAACGACACAATCGGTAAAGGCGAGGCACGTCGCTGTGCAGAGTTACGTCTTAAACCTATATCCAGGGTTCGAATCCCGGTTTGTTCAAATTATATATCTTGGTTTGTCAGCACACTGACGTACTGTTGGGTTTCACAAAAATGGTATAGGTAATGATATAGGTATGTTTCCAGAGTTCCCACCACCATGTTCACATTAAATTGACACTCCGTTATTAACTGAAATACAGTTCGACCTACGGGTTCGATTCCCCAAATGAGAAGAACGTGACGCCCTTTCCTGGTGTTCCCGTGATTGTACAACAGGGAGTTTGTGAATATGCTTGTACACCGCTTTTTGCAATAATCCAGCGATGTCACGTCACAATCGAACCCGGGCCCTGAACGGGACGAGCCAACGCTTTAACCACTTGGCTACCCTACATACAGCATATTTGCGTATATCAAGCTTCGAAAGAGGAATCCATTTTTGCGGAAACAGAAGCGTGTACTATAATTAGGTGGACAAGTGTGGTCCAATCGTCAAAGGCGCCATAATTCACTGTCAGACTTGTTTCTAGGTTTGTCAGCACCATACCTATGCTCGTTGGTTTAACTAATTGGTATAGACCAAAGACCATCACTTTTGAGTTTCTGAATCTTTCTTTTAGAGACAGAATTTGATTTCGGTCACTTTTAAATACTTTTTATATGCAAGGACTAAATAATTTGCTGCATTGAAATGGGGGTTGTCCTATTCCGCATTTCAATGGAGCAAATAATATTGCCCAAATATCTCAAATCATTATTTTAAATGTTTTAATTTTGCCATGGGTGTGTATGACATTTTTAAAATAGTTTATCCATAGAGCAAAAAAATCATAGAAATATTCATTCACATGTTTTGAAGGTACTGCATGACAGTAGGTGTTCGCAAAATGGCTTCATCACGCGTAGTGAGGGACGTAATCGCCCAATTAGCGTGTGACCTTATGGCGGCGCCATGCTGCATGCAGTCATCAGCTAGGGTCAACTGTGAATGTATGTTGTATACGTATTTTGGCGTTGAGGAGCCCGTTGTCATTAGCAATCACGATTACCCTCGTCTTTACAACATACACCCACTCTGGTGTAATGTATTGCAGGCAACACGAGCGTAACATTTACACCAACTGGTTTCCATCTTCTTACGCGCAGCATGCCTGTATGCAGCTGCATCCACCCTAGTGGGTTTATGGTGGCGTTAATGAGGATGATACAGAAGAACCCTCTATTTCAATGTACTATGTCCACAGTTAAACCACAGTGACTCCTCTTTCATCGCTGAATGTTGATTATCAAAGTATGTGTATTTATATTCCATTATACTACCCCTTAGTATAAACTCCCGACAGATGGCGTTCATCACCAAACCCCGTATGTTGTCCTCGGGTGAAGGCTTGTTTATCTTTAGTTTGGCTCGGTGACTGCTTCTTTGCCTTTTGGTAATGATCAACATACGACTTCAATCCTGGCGTCGTTATTAATGGGCCGATGAGGATATTAGAAACAGAAAGTGTCTGCACAGTCATATTTGTCGGACGCGTTTGAGGTGCCCAGTTCCATGGGGATAGCATTTGTTTGTTGTTTAACGCCGCACTTCGCAATATTCCAGCTATTTGACGGCGTTCTGTAAAATAATCGAGTCTGGACCAGACAATCCATTGACTGACATCATGAGCATCGATCCACGCAACTGGGATACGATGACATTCATCAACCAAGTCAGCGAACCTGACCACCCGTTCTCGTTAGTCGCCTCTTACGCCTGTATTGGCAAGCTTGGGTTACCGAAGACATGTTCTACCCCGGATCTTCACGGGTCCCATGGAGATGGGGGTACCGACGTCATGTCACATGTAAATGGTGATATCTGATTGAATTGGTTCAGCTCAACCACACCTAGCGTTGTGTATATTATACTAATCTTATCGCATGCACGAAACAAATTCTAGAAGTTGGTTGTAATTAGTACATCGCCATTACACATTAAGAGTCGGGGCAGGAAAGGTACCAGAATATCCCAGGCTTGTTGCAGACGTCTGATACGGGGAACTGGTGGGCAAAATGGTGGTTAAGCGTTGATTAAGGGAGATGCAGGACCCGTGAAGATCCTAGTTAGAACAGGTCTTCACTAACCCATGCTTGCCGTAATTAACGACTATGCTTGTCGTAAGAGCGACTCACGGGATCGGGTGGTCAGGCTCGCTGATTAAGCCATCGTATCCAAATTGCGTGGATCGATGCTCATGATGTCAATCACTGGATTGTCTGTTCCAGGCTCGATTATTTACAGACCGCTGGAATATTGCTGAGTGCGGCGTTAAACAACCAAAAAACATCAAATGCGATGCAGACCAACAAAGACCAATTGTCACCTGGGCCCACTTGCACAAAGCGATCTTAGCGCTAAGATGATTGTAACTCCCATACTTTAGCATAGGCTTACAATAGTCTTAGCGCAAAGATCGTTTTGTGCAAGTGAGCCCAGATCTGCTGCATGGGTCACCCAACCCAGACGACTTTAAGCGTTGATCACGTGCACTTTATCGGTCATTGTGATGTGTGTTGTATTTCCTTACATAGGGTAACATTGCTGTTATAGATTATGATACACATATATATTTGTTTCAGTGGTATAGTTGACAAGCATTCATTAGTTCTAAAGTGACAATGCGCCTTTGTCAAACTTTGAAGCGACCATTGATTGAGTTACTGTAACATATTATGATGGCATATTGTAAGGATGCTTTGCGACAATCAATATGCATTTCACAATGAAGTACAGCCACCTGTTACCTGGCGTTCCGAGCAAATCAAGTCCACGTGATCGGACTCGCATGCCTCAAGCGGAGACACGGCCACTTTGTTTGTTTGTTTATGGTTTTTTGTTTAACGCCGCATTCCAGCTAAATGACGGCGGGCTGTTAATAATCGAGTTTGGACCAGTCAATCCAGTGATTGACATCATGAGCATCGATCCACGCAATTGGGATACGATGGCATGCATCAACCAAGTCAGCGAGCCTGACCACCTGATCCCGTCAGTCGCCTCTTACGACAAGCATAGTTGCCTTTTATGGCAAGCATGGGTTGCTGAAGACATATTCTACCCCGGATCTTCACGGGTCGTCACGGCCACTGTTCAGGTGGACTTCTACAAAACAATCACATGTACCGTGACTAGCAAAGACTAGGATAAGTGTGCCTTTACTAAGTAGTTATCTTAGCTAACATAATTGCGACGAAAGCAGCTGTTCCTCAAAGATGATGGAACCATGAATAAGGTGGCGAGGGTGAAATGGGGTTTAACGTCGCTTCCAAGATTATTGCACTCATAAAGCGACGTGCATGCACGTGTGTGTCTGTGTGTGTGTGGCTGCTTGTACTAGTCAACTGCTTGCCCACTGTGATACCATGCCGCAGTTTAACATGAATATCCCACTCAGACACAGTAGACTGACTCCGAGCCGACCAGTTCTTGTATTAGCGCCTTAATGCCGAGCGCCAGACAGGGTAACAACAAGTACCATCCTTTAACGTCTTTTGGTATGACGCGACCGGGGATCGAACCCCGGACCTTCCGCTCTCCGGGCTCTACAACTAGACCAGGAGTCGGTCGGTAACTGACTAAGACAGCCATACCTCCACAAAGATGATGGTCAATAGTGCCTCTACTAAGATAGGGGTAACCTGACGAAGGCACTTGTAGCTCTCAGATGAATGGTAACTTTAATAAACAAGCAGTACCGCCACTAGTTATAAGGCCGCAGTACCTGACCTGGAACTAGACTATGTCTCTTGCTAGAAGCATATACGACATAACTTTAACTTCATTTGGAAAACAGGATATTGTGTAGGATACATGGAGCAATCTGATATGGCCTATGTATTTATCTGTATGGCAGACAGGAGCAAGAACTACTCCGTCATCAGTAGATTACTAAATGTTTTGCTCCATAATCTGACTAGACGTGTATTACACACCTCACTAGAAGTAGAAGGGGGTGTAAGATAAGCTGTACATACGACACCCTGGCACTCTCATGTACCCTGCTGGCAGACACTCGTCGCCTGTCAGTTTGTGTTCACAAAAAAACCAAATAAATTCCCTTCTGATGCAGATGCCTTTCTTGACAAAATACAAAAAAACGGACTAGCTGTGTACTGAGAGTGTGCTGCGTTGGCCTTGTGACCGTACAGGTTATGTCTCAGGAATGCGAATCCCGTTTGATGTGGATGTCTCTGGGGGAACGTGTATTGGGAATGTGAGATGGGTGATAAGACTGACCTTTAGTCCCTGAAGTAACGTTCTCTCATTTATCATTATGTATCTACAAAATAAAATACAAATGGAGCCTAGAGTAATGCTTAATTTAAGGCCTCGGGGAATCTAGACTTGCCAAATATTCCAGACTTGAGTTGTTTTCTTTCTTGAATTATTCCCTAGGGTCTGGGCGACAGACTCTGGGTGATGAACAGTGATGTGTTTGGTGCCATCTGGCGTGGGTTGGTGTGGATCTACATGGTTGAGACTACATGCATCACTGTATAGACTGACCTCTGTATTTTGTTGAGACAATTGGTATCGTCCACGCAGTAATATATGTAGTTACCTTTGCTTTGGTATCACTTGGACCTGGGGTAGAATAGGTCCTCAAGAACCCATGCTTGGCGACTATGCTTGTCGTAAGGGGTGACTAACGGGATCGGGTGGTCAGGCTCGCTGACTTGGTTGAAGCATGTCGTCGATCCCAACTGATTGGATCGATGCTCATGATGTCAATCACTGGATTGTCTGGTCCAGACTCGATTATTTACAAACCGCCGTCATATAGCTGGAATATGGCTGAGTGCGGCGTTAAACAACAAAGAAACAAAATAGTATCAGTTGAGTAAGGTAACAGGTTACCATCATTAATTAACACTTACCAAACTAACCAAAC